AACTAACCAAGAATAACTAATTTGTTTTGACATCTTTTCGTATTCATGATAATGCAGGGTAAAACAAAATATAGTATCAGTCAGTCATAAAATTCCCACTAAAGATAACTCGTACCACATTAATGTTATGTCTTTCGACATCATAAATCTGAATATTTTACTTCAGCAAGCACCACTTTAAATCACCATGACACATATTTCATCAAATACTTGCAGACGAAACTTTAAGCCTAACTGTCTAATGCCAATAGCTCTACTTTGGGTCGTTGACAAAGTCATATCCAAAAAGAAAAGAAGGAAAGATGCGGTTGATGTTTAATATTTGGGTACATTACATGTGTCGCCATGTGCTTTGCATGAACCACCACTTCCGGACGCCTCTGTGCATGCACAGATCACTTACCATTAGCCTTATGACTACTCAACATGAGGTGAAGCAAATGTCTCATTTTCATATCTCTGCCCGGTAATTAAAATTAAATACTTACTTTATATAACTATGGTAACAGGGAGCATAATCAAATCGCTGTCCTCGCCTTGAAAATCCAATATGACAGACAAAGTTTGAGAAGTATGGCAAGACCTTTACTTGTCTCCCCATTATTTTGCAATCCACAGCACTTAATACACAACAAATGCATGAATATAATGTTAAGATTAGATTTTGTAAATTATTGTTATTTTGCCGAGTTTGTACACACAGTGTTTGACATACAGCGCATGGCCATATTATTACGTACAATTGTAACGGCATTGATATCGTGTATAACGATGCCGTTTTTAAAATACTGCTACTCAAAAACGATATATATTTTGTCACATGATCGACCATGATGTCACGTGACTATTTTTAATCCACTTGTTGTCTGCTACATATTCTGGTTGTTTCCGGCAACAGTGGGGAAATCGGCTGATTTGTCGGAGTCACTTAAGAAATTAATTGTAAAAAAGTTCCAAAGTGGCGAAAAATGTTCTAACATTGCAAGATTCTTTAGAATGCCTCGAAGCAGCGTATATTCGGTTGTAAAGCGGTTTAATCAACGTGGATCAGTTGAGAATGCTCTCAGAACAGGCCGTATGAGAAAACTGACTCCTCGGGACAATCGACAACTTTTGAGGTTGGTCAGAGACAATAGGATTTCACCTTTGGGTGAAAAAACTGAGAATTTGAACAACCATAGGGCTACAAGTGTATCGGTGAGGACTGTAAGGAGACGATTATATGAAAATAAATTTCATAGACGTGTTGTTAGAAAGAAAATCTGAATTCGTGACTATAATGTCAGAAATTGTTTGGCCTGGGCAAGAGGGCAACAATATCGTACAGTGAATAATTACTGGAATCAAGTAATCTTCTCTGACGAGTGTAAAATTGTCATTGGGGAAAACAATTGTGTTTTTGTTTGGAGACAGCCCGGTGAAGAATACCTCCTGCAATGTCTTCGTCCGGGACGACAGCCACGCGTCAGTTTGATAGTGTGGGGTTGGCATGGTGTTGGTACCATTTGTGTTGTTAATGGCAACATAAATGCTCAGAAATACACAGAAATCCTCGATGATATGCTTTGGCCCGTTATAGCCAGACATTTTCCGGGAAACCGCTACATCTTCCAAGATGACAATGCCCCTATACATCGGGCCCGTGTCGTTCAAGATTACAAGCGACAAAATGACATTACTGGAATGTTGTGGCCTGCATAGAGTTCAGAGGCAAATATTATTGAGAACTGTTGGCTCTTCCTGAAGAATAGACTTCAGGGAGGCCGAAGAAACATTCAGTCGGCTGCCGACTTGGAACGCGAAGTGCGGGACATCTGGGAAAATATTCCCCTCGATTTCATCAGAAATCTTTATTCATCGATTCCAAGGTGGATGTTGAAAATAATAAGGAACAAGCGACACATCACAAAATATTGAGGTAAGACTGTTTATATTTAACGAGTTATGACACTTTGAACTCCCGCGTAAATTGGTCTTCAACAATCGGTCCGCCATGTTTGTACGTAATAATATGGCCACCCGCTGTAGATCTTCATTCACAGTTAAAAAGGGATGTTTCCTCAGGACTGTCTATGGTCCTATGGCAGGAAGAGAGAAATCATGCTAAAACGGTAGATCTAACTGTTCTTTCCATTTTAAATTTCTCAAAAACATCCAAAGCTCAGACCCGCCGTGATGTTGCTGGAATATTGCTAAAAGCGGCGTAAAACCAAACTCAGTCAGTCCAAAGCTCAGATGAAGTCATGTGGGGTGGGGTTGTAAATTCAGGTTGTTTAACCGTAACTTAATCGTGCTTAAAAGTTTATTCGAAGGACACCAGCTACTAGCTCTTGCAATGTGAAGTACTGGGTTAACTAATAATTAAATGGTTAAACATTGATGATAGTTGACTTCCAGTAATGAATTATGGTTTCCACTGTATTCTATTTCTAACTCTCTGCCAGGTCAATTTCAGAATGAGAAACGAGATTTTCCCAAACAAAACCACAGACTAACGGACTATGACCTGTACTAAAAACATTGTTCTTTGTCGGGTTTTTTAGATGTCAATCTGTCCTGCACAGGGCATGATACTGATAGGCCTAATATTGAACAGAGAGGCTTGTGAGTCATTGATCACTGTTGGTCCTGAAAACATTTCTGTAAGTACAGTTTGAAACTCAGAAAAAGCTGTTGTACATTCAATATGAAATAAAGACTTACCAATACGTTCGTCCTCTTGTAATTTGTTATTTGCTTATGTCATTCTGCCATCAAAGATAGTTCACGAAACCGTCTGCTAAACCGGAAGTAATTTAGTTAATTCCCTTGGCTATCTTGCACTGGATTCACCGTATAACTGCGCATCCGCACAGAGGCGCACAGAATCGGCGTATTTGGCAGCAAAACGCCTAGTGTTCGTGTGATCAGTTTTATCTCTGAAAAATGCTTATTGTATTCAATGTAGGGTAAGAGCAACAAAAATCGAGTGGAAACATAATAGTGCCACCCATTAACAATGATTTACCTTTTAAGCTTATTTTCACTCCTAAATCTCCATGAGCAGAGTGGCGCAGTGGAAGCGTGCTGGGCCCATAACCCAGAGGTCCGTGGATCGAAACCACGCTCTGCTACAATTTCTTTTTTTTTTTTTTTTCTTCATATCGTTCTACGGATTTTTCTTCAGTTTATTACCAGTATATCTATTGCATAAGCATAATTACTTGACAAACATTGGATGTAAAAACATCTGTCACAAAACAAATTGTTCTAACTGAAGTGAATTTATTACCAGACACCTTTCTATGCAACAACCCTGACATCGAAATATACACACACCCATCCCTATGCTACATCATACCAGAGACCATATAATATTATATGGTCTCTGATCATACACAGTTACAAACACTATGATCAAACGTAAAATTCACAAAAATAAAAACTGTATACTGTTATTGTCACTAGACAGATATAACTTGTTTTGTATTTTGTTTTTGTTGGTGTTTTAGGTTTGTTTGTTTTTGTTTTTTGTTGTTGTTGTTTTTGGGTTTTTTGGGGACGGGGGGTTGTTGTTGTTTTGTTTTGTTTGTTTTTTTTGTGTGTGTGTGGGGGGGATTCTAAATGGATTCAACAAATTATCGTTGTAACAAACAAAAGTAATTTACCCCTCTGAGTTTGTGATTACAATAATACTTTACTGTACATCATTTTTACCAGTGATATTGGCCTTACAAATACTGTGTGTTTTTGTGACAGCATGATTGAATTGCTGTATAGTTTTTATACTATAATCCAATGACAGTTTTGTAGTTCAATATTTTGAGTGAGTGAGTGAGTTTAGTTTTTACGCCGCACTCAGCAATATTCCAGCTAGATGGCGGCGGTCTGTAAATAATCGAGTCTGGACCAGACAATCCAGTGATCAACAGCATGGGCATCGATCTGCGCAATTGGGAACCGATGACATGTGTCAACCAAGTCAGCGAGCCTGACCACCCGATCCCATTAGTCGCCTCTTACGACAAGCATAGTCGCATTTTGTGGCAAGCATGGGTTGCTGAGGACCTATTCTACCCCGGATCTTCACGGGTCTTCAATATTTTGAATTATGCTTGTATTGCTATTGTGTGAAGACTACATTCAGCTTCACAACCTTAACAGAGCAACCCAATATTATACATTAATATTTGATTCTAATATATGTTCCCAAAGGATTCTTCAGACACACAATGAATAGAAATAACATACTCCTCACAAAAAATTATTTCGAAAAAAAGTCTGAATCCCGTCTACTAAAAATATTTCCTCATAAACTTCAGCCTTTTTACCCCATGGCTGGTCCAGCTGTCCTTCCAGGCACAACTTCGTCTTGTTTGTCAGTAGTTGCTTGGTTGGTTGTTTTTAAAATGCAGGACCAGACAATCCAGTGATTAACATCATGAGCATTGATCCAGTGAGCTAGACCACCTGATCCCGTTAGTCGCCTCTTACGACAAGAATGGGTTGCTGAAGACCAATTCTAACCCGGATCTTTACAGGTCTGTTTGCCAGTAACAGGTACATTATGACTTATTGTCAGTCATACATATGTAACCAGTCTCTGTCTTGTAACTCTTCAGTAATAACGCAACATAACAATGATTCAGATTTTATTTGTTTTTCAGCACACAGGTTACATTACACAATAAAGCCAGACCAATTTTATTTCTTGGTTTACAGATTTTTGTCCTCAGAAAACCTAAAGGCAGGAGGGAAAAAAAATAACAAAATAAATCACCAGTCAAAGTAATATTCCGTTTAAATGTTAAAAGTATTTTACTTTTGGCAATTTATGAAGTGTAAATGGGGCAAAACACAATCAAAACAATTTTTGGGTAAGGCTACTTTTTTTTGCCAATAACAACATGAGGATTTTAATTTTTGAGCGGGGAAAATACATTTTTATTTTTTTTATTTTTTTTTTAAAAATACAACGGGTGGATCTGTAAAACAAGAAATAAAATTGGTCTGGCCTAATTCAGGTTATCATTGCTGGACCATGACAGATTAATCACAATGGATTGGAACAGTGAACAGCAGAGGTGCTAAAAAGTATCATTTTTATGAGATAATGGTTTCAAACATCACAGGCATACCGAAGTTAGAATAATTTAAGAAAATCTCATGGTAATGCCGTCCCTCAAATATAAAAGGATATTTACTGGGCCCCATCTACAAATTTATCTGCGTGACAGTCATAAGTTTGCGTTAAGGAATGAGTGTTAGGGTCGTTTAAGTGCTACGATTACATTCAAATAATTACTCACATATTAACATCCACATTTGGTATGTGACAGCTTTGTTTGGGTATTCAATACATTTATCTCTCTTGCTTCCAGTCTAGTGGGTAATTATAAACAAACAAGGCACATTTTTTAAAGCAAATTCTCTTAAAACGATATTAGGTAACTTGTAATTTTCTTCTGATCATGTCTTGCCCCAAATGTATCAGATGTCACAACAGTGAATAAAAATGTCAGTTACAATAATCAAGATCTAGCATTTGCTACATGTTCACGGCAACAGACCATACATATAGGCTAAGCCTGAAGAAAGAATATTTCCAAATCTATCATGATTTATAAATGTTTAAGGTATGGACAAATTCTGATGGTCTCTTCTTTTCATAAAAAACACACATTGAAAGCAAGACTGATGGACATTTTTATGAAAACTATTATTAAACAGATGATTATTGTTGAACTCAGACAAGACACTAAGAAAAGAATGTAACATTGTAGACTTTCGAATATTGAAAAACATGAACAAAATAGCATATATATGTCTGAAATTTGTGAAACTACTCCTAAGCTGATGGACATCTTTAGAACTTGGTTGTAACCGGAGGCAGCTCAATTCCATCTTTCTCCGGCACTTTCGTCTTGATTTCCTCCATCACATCAAACCCTGCGTTGACTTGACCACCATTTATTGCTTCCTTCATCATCTCCTCGTACTTGTCAATGAGCCTCTCCCCCACACCTTGGTGTCTGTCGTACCAGAAACACAGGAAGGAGAGGGTGGCAAACATCACAGAAGCCGCAATGACACCTACGATGACACTGGGCATGTACTTCTTCATCAGGTCCCCCCAATATGGCCCATGTATGTTAATTCCTTTACGGATGCTGTGAGTCAGATTGCCTTGCACAAATACCAGGCAGTTGTACACACCAAAATCTTCATCGTGGACATGTTTGACCAGGATCCAGTGGCCACTTGGGGATATGTCAACCTTGGAATGGTCACCATGTGGGCGGATGATCTCACCACTGGGTAATGTCCAGAGGAGGCTTGTTCCGGTTGGCATCCGGTCTGGGTTGAACATATCATTCTCACAGGTTAGATTTTGTTGTTGATGATAGAGGACATTGTAGACCCAGTGGTCGGAGTGACCACCCACCTGACCAAGGACGACCACAATCAGGACGAGCTGGAGTACCATACTGGAAGAGCACAGTTTGATACCTGTTATCAACAGTGAGTTAGACACTCTCATTTCTAATTTGAACTTATGACACTCTTTTATATTGAAAAATACTTAGACTTTGATGTCTCACAGCACTATGCTCTGCTCCTTCGCCTGGTAGATACAAAGCAAGGATATATTTAATACTGTGAGATCAGTGTATAATAAGGAATATAATGAGGAAGATTAAGGAGGCCAAGCCTCAAATCAATATGCTAACTTCGTAATCATCAGATGGAGTCTGAAATTTAACTAAAATCAGTTAAGAAGTTATTTGCCAAAAAAGAGATGATGTGGTGATATATTTTGTTATATATTAAATTTTTATTTATTTTATTTTATTTTTATTTTAATTGGGGAGGGGACACATTTGTTCTAGGAGCTGGGGGTTGTTAGCAATTTTGTATACATACACACTAGGGGATCAGCAATTTTGTACATGACATGCAGGGGGTCACTTATTTTGTACATAAACTTTAGGGGGGGTTGGGTGTCATTCACATTGTACATGCTTCTCCATAAAAATCATCATCATCCCCCTAGCCATATATTATGAATGGTCCCTTTGTGTTTTTAAAACTTGTAAATGCCTGTCAAAGATACATTTTCTAATTTGTTTTTCAGATAGCCAAACCCTAAACTGATGAACATGACACAATCTAACTTTTGTATCGTGATGAGTGCAACTTACATATTAACCTTGACAATACCTATGAGACCATTTCTGAAGTATTTTGAAAACCCAGAGACATACATGTATGTCTTTTCTCTATTTATAGTTCCCCACAAGCAATAACCTATTCTTGTTAGTTTCACTTTAAGCCACCATTGAGTGTAGGTATATACTTACTTTTGCCAAGCAGCTTATTAATAACTGATTGGAGTTAAATAAGAGAGTAAGAAAGGTCAATTTGATTAAAGAATTACAAACATCAAGAACATGTCACCATGATTACACAATGCCATTTAGAAAGTGGTCAAATGTAACATATGTTATATACATATCTTAACAAAGTACAGATTCTAGTAAGAAAGTGTAATCCCAAACATAACATATGTTAAACATGTCACCAGTCCGAAATAGTTGCCCCAACACTGCCAGTACAAGGTGGAAACACAACCATGACACATATGAAATACATCATTTGTTCTTTGTTAAATCTTTAGTCATCCTTGGTGTATATTTTGTTTTGGTTAGCAGTTTAGTGACAAATGTTTCAGAAATTCAAAGTCACAAGTAAAATTAGAAAAAATTTGACTGAGAAGCTCTATACAAAATGGCATATCATGGATGACATGGTGAGACATGCAAGAGAAACATTGTACACTTTGTTAAAAATGTTAACGAAGAATACCAATAACCTCAATAGACAAAATATTACCATTTCCTTGTCATAGATAATCAACACTATACCATACACATACATTGCATTTAAATATTATTTTAGCTGAAACATTAATCTAAAATAAACAATAGCAACACATGGTAATACATCACCTTGTACTCTTCTTCCTACCTGAACCGTAGACTGTGTGACACAGGCCCAGAACACACCTTGTCCACCTCCATACCATCTCCATACCGTATTACATGTAAGTTAAGCTCCACTCTTTACCTCAACCATTGAATATCTGGATTAGAATTGGTCTTCAGCAACCCATGCTTGTCATAACAGATGTGCGCCGGGATAAGGTGATTAGGCTCGATGACTTGCTTGACATATCGTACTCCAATTGCGTAGATCCATGCTCATGATGTCAATCACTGGATTTTCTGGTTCAGACTCGATTATTCAGACCACCATCATACAGCTTTAAATTGTTCAGAGCAGCGTTAAACAACAAACAAACATTTTTTAAACATAATATACTCATGGAAACAAAAAAGGGAACACATGAAAGTACAAGTGTTTCCTTTATTTATTTCCAGAATTCCACCCACAGTAATACATACCTTGTGAAGAAACCTGGAAAAGAATAAAGAAACACTTGTACTTTCATGTGTTCCCTTATTCGTTTCCATGAGTATATTGATAAACATGACATAATAAACATATTTAAAATAATTTCTCATAAATTGCATGGTTTTTTTTGTGTGTACCCTAACCATTCAATTGTTTGTGGGATTTCCATACAAATGTTACAATTCATATATTAAATCTGAATTTATATATTATTTTTTTAAACTGTAGGCATCTGTGTACACTACCTGTTGAAGCAATTCAGGTGGAGGATGACCGACTGGCTGAATGTTTTAAATGTCAACAAACAGGGCAATGCACACTGCAATTTTATCCAAACATTTCAAACTTGCAAAATTATTCAATTATGGCCTTAATTTTATTTTTCACTATTTATAAAAGAGTTCTGTGGATACCAGTGATAATGTAACATGTGAGCCTATATTCAACAGCTAAAAGAATAAAATGCAAAACTGTTGTCTCTCCAACAAGGGCTTATGTTCACAATTCATCCTGGGCTGAAAATACTTATTTTTATTTTTGTAATCAGAAATTGTTTTTTGGGGTCTTGTTACCGAGGATCCTGCGCTTGAAATACACTGACTACAGTAATGTACATGATTTAGCACAGAAGCAGGCTACCGAGGTGTGGCAGTCTCTACACAGAGACTGGAACTAACAGCACAAACTCATTGCTGGACATGCAGACCACTCATACAACATGTTGCTATAGGCATTGTTCCTGGTGGGGTCACTGACCCTTGTGTCATGGTCGTTAATGGTAGAGTCTGTAGTGTTTCATTGCTTTGATATTAACAGGGGGAATATAAGGGTAACGCTATTTTTCAGGGCATTATCATTTGCAGAAGCCAGAGGTCTTTCATTAACTGCCCGGGGAAGGATTATATTTTAGCTATAATGTTGTTAATGCCTCTGTTAACAATATTTCATGGCATTCTGTACATAATTATGTTTGAAAGCATGATCGAGCCACAATCCACCATTTGAAACAGAAATGAAAGCAGTATTATACATTTGTTAGTGATTACATCTCACTTAACACTATATGCACTATAACACTTAACTGCTCTATATGTAGCTGTGGGTAACAGTACACCGACTATTATCAAGGTATACCCAGAATAATATGACCTATGAGTGAGTGAGTGAGTATGGTTTTATGCTGCTCTTAGCAATATTCCAGCAATATCACGGCAGGGGACAAGAGAAATGGGTTTCACACATTGTACCCATGTGGGGAATCGAACCCGGGTCTTCAGTGTGATGAGTGAACGCTTTAACCACTAGGCTACCCCACCGCCCCACATGACCTACGAAGATCCGGGTTAGAATTGGTCTTCACCAACACATGCTTGTCGGAAGAGGAGGCTCACTGATTTGGTTTGACACATGTCACTGCAGGTCACACATTGTCATTGAGTTCATCGATGTTCATGCTGTTGATTGTTGGATTGTCTGGACACAAACTGCTGCCATATAGCTGGAATATTGGTGAACGTGGCATTAAACAACAAACAAACAAACAAAACCAGAATAATTATCAGGCAATTCTGAATTAAATGAGCGTAAATCACACAATCTGATTTCAATTTCCAAACTCAACTGTCCATGTGATGGAATTGCTTAAAACTGTAAGATGAATTGAAATGGGGTTTAACGTCCTTCTTAAGAATATTTCTCTCATATGATGACATGGATGCGTGTGTATGTGTGGCTGCTTACTAGCCCAGACTTAAGCTGGTTTCATAGTGCTAGCTCACTGAGATACCATGCCGCAATTAAGCATGAATACCCCTCTAGGACACATCATACTGACTCCGAGCTGACCAATCCTTGTTTTACCCATTAATGCTGAGCACCAGGCAGGGAACAAGAAGTACCATATTTTAACGTCTTTTGGTATGACGCGGCCGGGGATCGAACTCACGACCTCCCGCTCTCCGGGCTAAAACTGTAAGAAGTACAGCTGAATGTATGTATTTTTGTTCATTACACATGATGTGTTACACTTAATTTTTAAAACTAAACACATTTCTTGTGTTATACTGTTTTATTATCATACTGAATTAATATACATGAGGTCTATAAACACATTATGAATATAAGACACGTCTGGTTAAATCTTCCAGCTACATAATCACAAAGACACAAAACAATAACTTCTAAAATATAACCCCTCAATTCATTATACAATACAGTGTATTGGTTTACATGTGACACAACTTTCAGATAAGATTTTACATAACTTATACAGGGAAATAACACTGAGGTAGGGGAAGAATTGTCTCCCTTGTTTTGGTGTTAATTTAGGAAATACACATTAGACACACATTTCAGGGACTGTCTGAGAGAAATTTTTAAAACAAATTGTGCTTTTGTTTTGTATAGTAAATGTTGTATAATCATATGTATTTAGACATTTTTCATAATTCAGTGTGGTTTGAGCTTAGTCTTATGCCATTTTTAGCAATATTCCAGTAACATCATGGTGGGTGACATCCAAAATGAACTTCACACCCTGTACCACTGTTGGGAATCAAATTGGGGTCTTCTGTGTGACAAGTCATTTTTCTTTTTGGGAAAGCCAGAGTTTCTAAAGTGTACAATTAAGTACAACTGGAAAAATGAAGCACTTTCATGTATCTTTTGGAAATATATATATCACATTTACCTCATTTTGAGAAATGACCAAACTACCCACTAATTCCTGGGTACTAGAAACCAAACATGTTAAGTATGTCCCTCTAGATGGTCACAGGATAGGTCATATCCTATCATACAAAGAAAGATTGCAATGAAGTCACTGAACAAATACATTTGGTTTGTGAACTAAAGTCATAAAACAGTCTTTGGAATATTGTCATAAAAATATAGAGGAATTCAATCTTCATAAATCAGTATTTTTATGTTTGTCTGGTAAATAGTCCTCAGCTGTTTTAGGTATGTAATATATATTTTTATGAATTAACTCTTTAGTTAATGATTAAGTGAGTTCATTGATATTCTTGAATCAATACTGTTGCTGTCTGGTTCACAGTTTAATGATACTGCAAAAGAGCAGACCAGAAACATTGTTTCAGTGATGTCTGTTTCCTTAGCTTTTGCTGACACAGAGCAACTTTCCTTAATCAAATTTTCAAAATCAAAACAGCCAAAATATATACATGTATATTTTGACAGGAAACAAAGCCCTTTCACTGATTGAAACCAGTGTGATCTTGCAACAAGCAATAATATCAAAAACATCTGTTAACGATTCCACAACAAAAAACACTAAGACTTATCTCAAAGGAAATATAAATGGATGGCATTCAGCTAATAACTTCTCAGCAGTTAAACCTCAGGATATAGAATATAGAACAAACTTTATGGATAACAACTTCTAAAGCTGTTGTTATCCATAAAGTTTGTTCTATATTGTACTTCCCAACTTCTAAAATGCCACTCAAAGAAGTTAAACCTCAGGATCACGCATTGTCTACAGTTTTGTGGCCAGATCTTTTCCAATTTCAGAATAAACTGGTGGGTGCTCCTCTCCATTTACTGGTACAGTCTTAGTGTCGACCTGAACGTCATCCAACTCCACTGCAGCATTGTCGATACCTTGGTTGGACATCCAGAGAGATGATGCTTTCACTCTTTCATCCTCATCCGCCTCCAAGGAGCTGTTTCTGCCAATCCAGAAGCAGAACCCCATCATGATAACAAACATCACAGCAGCAGCTACTGCCCCAACGATGAAGTTCGTGCGATACTTCGCCATTAGGTGCCCCCAGTATGGGCCATTCATGTTGATGCTTGTCTGAACTATCTCATATTCCTGTGTGTTGAAGTTGTAGATGATACAGCTGTAGATGCCAAAATCAACATCGTCTACCTTCTTCACTGTGATCTGTTTTCCTTCGTCAAAGACTGTCACTCTGTCATGGGTGGACGTCTTTCCCACAAGGTCGCCATTAGGAATGAGCCACATCAGTCGGTATCTGGACATCTGTGTAGCATCAGGGTCGAAGGATTTGCCCATGCAGCTCAGGTTTGCAGGATGATCGTACATCACAACAACGTCTGAAACTTCTCCCTTTGCTACCATGGCAACCATAGAGATGGCGGCCATGCAGATATTCCATGCCCAGAATCCCATTTTGGAGCAGATCTGGAAAACGAATGATGGTGAGAAATAAAATTTTAGTTTGCAATCTTGATAACTGATGGTACAGATAGAATTTCTGCGAAATAGCAAACTGGAACCAATGACAACTTACATTATGGATAAATAAATCATCAGAGACCATGGAAGCTCTTCTAACAAAAATAACATGTATTATATTTCTGAGAAACATAATTCCCTTCAAAGATTTTATATTATGAGCCTGGTTTGGGAACATTTTTTCCCAATCGCATCTGCATGCCATTAACCATATTTGTATTCAAGAGAAAAAAACAAAATTGTCTGAGGTCTTAAAACAGCCATTCACACTGATTCACCGAAGTTGAGTACAGTAATGTTTAACTGCAAACAAGAAGCCAAAATTAGCCCTATAATCACCATCATCACGCACAGACTGGAGAACTGAGGAAACATTGTGCCTGACATGTGCAGTTTATACATTAGGGGGGAAAACTAGCAACAGTTACCTGCCCTTGGTCAATATTCTAGAAAATACTAAAGTCTGACAAGAGGGGTTAAAAGACATTGAGGGGACCCCAAACATAAAACCTTTTTAACCTTTTGTTTCTCCAAGTGTATTAGGTTAAATATATCTATGGTATATATTCATGAAAGAGGGTAGGTGGTTAGTGGTTAATGCTTTTGCTCATCACGGGTAAAACCCGGGTTCGGTTCCCCACATGAGTAGAATGTGTGTCCCCCAACGTGATATTGCTGGAATATTGCTACAAACATAAAACTTAACACACTCCCTCACTCACAAGTTATCACAAATTGTTGATGTTCCCATCATATATTTTATAAAAAACACTGAAGATCACAAAAACATAAATGACAATGTATGTAAGATAAACAATTGAACAGACATAAATTTGTAAGAACACATAACACTTGTAAAACACACATATGAACACATATAAAAACACATCAACTCATATCAACTCGCCTGATCACACATACACATACATGAACTCATAAGAACACACAAAATTCACAAAACACACATCAACTGAATTCAACTCGCATGAACAAACTATTTCCATTTTTCACATTATAACATCACATCAAATTAATTCCAAATACACTGTATATCACCTCAAAATTACACATATCATTTTGCTATCAGAAATGAAAGTTTGGTACATAATACAAATATCCCTGCAGAACTGAAGCATCAAGAAAAGTCAGGAAATTCTTACCGAGACAGTAGCAGTGATTCTCACAATGTGTCCCAATTGTCTGTTGTATTCAGCTGGAAGATCTGAGACCCCTGGCTCAATCTCTAGGTAAACATGGTGCTCAGTGAGAAGCCATGGTTGTTTACCTGTAATTCATGCCCCGTAAAGCTTGAACATCTACCTGTGTCTACTTAGGTGCCTTTACACCGGTTGAATCTAGGCTAAGGCCAACACATGAAAACTGTTCTCATCTGGAATCAGCAGACATTCATTTTTTTCTCTTTTTAACCTTTAGCATTATGTGATTTCATACTTTGAAATAGTTTTCTTTGCCCCAAAATGTTATTACTGTTTTTCTTGGAATGATTAAGCTATTGTATTATTGGGTCTACATTTTTAATTAAATGTTTTCCGCAAACTAAGCACACTTTTCATACACTATGGACTGAAAATTACAGTTGAAGAAGCAACCTTTCAGACATATAACAATTTGTTTTTTAAAAACCCCAAATATTGCCCATATAATTTGTCCTTTGCAAGAACATTTAAGGAACAGTAATTTATTTTAGTACTTTCACCTAAGACTTCAGTTATATAAAGACAATGATTAATTAATATCTGTCATGGTAACATTGTAATGTTGTTGAAAATACCACATAATAAAATGTTTATAAATATATAATTTATATACTTTCAATCACTAAAAGTTGATCCAGCACCCCCTGGTAAAGACCCTCCTGGCTTTATTGTAATGTAAGGGTCACAGAGTGACCTCACAAGTATATCTAGTTTCAACCAATCACGAGGAACACGAATGCTGTTGATTTACCCCAGAACAGAATCTGTATAATGTATGTAAGAGGTTATGTCAAGAACTAATATTTATGAGGGAAAACATGACCTACATGAATGCAGCAAATGTTAACACACTATTCAGAAAGCTGAAGAAATTACATTTCTCGGGAATTTAAATTAACTGCAGGAGCTGAACGTGAAATAACAGTGAACAAAGCTATATTTCTTACAGAAAGACAAAAATGAATTAAAGTAATGCATATTTGCATTTTCTTTGTGACTGCTTTGGACTCAAAATAGAAATTATTGGAAGTATCTTAAATTCTCTCATGTGAACACCTTGGATTCATTTTCTTTAAAATATGTTGTATGTCCTCTACATGTTTGTTTTAAAGCTGTATGTACTCAAATACTGCATGTATTGTGCTAGTTAAATCTCTGAACAACTTGGTGGAGCCCAGTTAAAATACATATATTTTATACAAGAAGTGTTTAACATATGTTATCTTTGGGATTACACTTTCTCAGTAAAGTACAGATTCTAGTACTCTTGTTGGATTGAGACCCATCCAGGATTCGAACCCACACCCTCAGAGTCAGTCACCTAATCGCCAGCACACAAAGTCAGACGCCTAGACCGCTCAGCCACCGCGGCTTCCACAAAAATGGAAGTCGGACAACTGGTAGTCCAGACTGCGGACTTTGTGTACCCCTCTGATAAGTGTTTGTTGGAAATATAGATATGGAACATATCAGTTTTCTACATTGAAATCCCTTTAGTAAACTTATGAATTATGTAGCTGTGAAATAAAAAGGAGGTTCATGCGAGGTGTGATGACTTTGCACATGAAAACATACACTGATATGTTAGGAGTGAAGACTCTCTTAGCTTCCAAGTATCATATTGCTCATGGTTAAAAATGAACATGATGTCATCTCTACAGCTGACTCATTTTACTCTATAGCATAAAACATAATAATAGTAATGATCAAGAGGACCTGATGTCTCTGCTGATAGTCTCTGCACTGAGTAGGATCAGGATCATTTCAATCCTTCTGGAAAATTCCAAATTTGAAGTTATGAAAACTTTGAAAAAGTGGTATGAAAATGTCCAGACATGTTTATGTGGTTGACAACTGCCCTTTCTGTTCTTTTGGTATGATCAAGTATGTCAGAAAAGCACTTATAAACTACTTGTAAATAGGGGTGGGTATTGAAGAGAATTTTCATACTGAGATATATTGTGATGTGAAAGCATATATTGCGGGATGTATTGCAATATATTGCAAGAGAGTTTTTTAACAAAAAAAGCCTACTTATAATCGAGTTAATGCTTGATTTATAAAGCAAAAACACAACAAAATCACTATGATTGATTAAGCTTTAATAAAAACTTTTAATCATGACAAAATAAACATGTAAATCATATTTAGCACAAATGAACCAAGGAAAAGAACAATTTAACATCAACACAGTGGTGACTAATTGGAAGTAGTTTCTCCACTCTCAAACATAGCCCAGAGATTTTAGACAGCAGCTTGACCTGGTCAGGACATATCAGATATCACTGGTCATTAATTGATAGGGGTCGCCAATTTTACAACAAACGCAAGATTTCCGAGTGTTACGCAGTTTACCAAATGCATGTCAAAATACCAGTTATCGATCAGCGTATCGCAATACGTATCATTTTCATGCCTGAACAGGTAAATACCAGTAAACCGGTTATATTGCGCAGCCCTACTTGTAAAACATCAATTTACCCTTAATCCAGAGATATTGAACTATGAGAAGTTCAAGATGCAAGATGAATGTTACCATATTTTTGCATCGTCTTATTCGGCATCTCTATGGAGAAAATGAGTCAAAGACTTGCTCATATTCAGACATCATAAAAAATCTTTCTGAAAATATCTAAAATTAGTTCTCTGACATATTTTGGCATTATCTGACCAGTTTCCTTTTCTCTTCTAAACACATCATCCCAACCAGTCTCTCTACCCAAATCATCATCCAACCTCTTTTTATAAAAAACGTTACCCTACTTGTTTCTCTTGCCACCTCACCCTTCTGCTCTATACCAAACACCACACTCCTTCCTCTCTATCAAGACATCACCTCACTCCCACCGTTTTCTCTCCACCAAGCATCTTAAACATTTTTTCTTTCGATCAAAAACCTGAACCCTCTGTTGTCTCACCCTTCTGCTCTCCACCAAGCATCTTAAACATTTTTTCTTTCGATCAAAAACCTGAACCCTCTGTTGTCTCTCTATACCAAACACCACACCATTGTTTCTACCGAGCACAGACCTGTACTCCTTTCACTCAACTCACTACCGAACCCAGAGTCTATCGATCTACCAACCATCTCCACAATTCCCCATAACTACTTTCCTCCAACCTTTCCCTGGCTGTTTTATACACATTATATACACTCCATATCTTCCCTTTTCTCAACACAACACCTCATCCCTTTTTCACTACTGATTCATCACCTTTTCACCATCTGCTTCAAATGCGTCATGTCTCATATGAGGAGAAAGGTAGCAACCATGATTATGTCCCTTAGACTGTTGATGCAATATTGAGGTTGTTGATAAGGAAAGCAAGGGAAGTAACTCCACCATTACTACTCTTACATCAGGCTATGAGGGGTTTGACATCATGTCCATCATTATCGCACATATATATCTGTGTGTTTGTGAGCGTGTCTGTACTAGTCAGGACTAATGGCGGTCTTAAAGAGTGTATCCACGGAGACCCCATGCTTCAGTGTTAACGTGGAAACTCCACTCTGCCACAGAATATTGACTCTACCTGACATGTCCTTCATCTAATCTAAAATGAACACTCTGCCACAGAATATTGACTCTACCTGACATGTCCTTCATCTAATCTCTTAAGTTAATCACTGGATTGTCTGGTCCAGACTAAATTATTTACAGACCACCGCCATATAGCTGGTATATTGCTGAGTGTGGCGTAAAACTACACTCACTCACTCTAATCCCTTAATGTTTAACGCAAGGAAGGGCAACAACAAGTACATGGGTTTGCACCTAGTTAGTTACTGAGTATTAGCTACACTATGAGTGAGTGAGTGAGTGGGGTTTTACGCAACTTTCATCAATATTCCAGCAATATCATGGCGGGCGACACCAGAAATGGGCTTCACACAATGTACCCATGTTGGGAATCGAACCCAGGTCTTCGGCTTGACAAGCGAAGGCTTTAACCACTAGGCTACCCCACCACCCCCTTTATCTATGACATAGTATAACTGAACCCACAAGTTCACCAGCAGTCAAGTCTTCCCAGCTGTTCATACAATGTTGGTACAATGTCACAAAATAACATGAACAGCATGTGGTTTTGCCCCTTTATATATTATTCTCTCTAAACTGCTAATGGTAACAATCAGAATGCTTGAATTTGGACCTGTCTCTGAATCTCTATGTAGACAGTGAGTGAGGGAAGGTTTAACATGGCCAGGAATATATCTACTAATGCATGGTGATCCTAAATAAGTCTTATCCAAGCCATCCTAAGACTGACAGCTCAACAGTTCATAGTGTTAACTGATACACAGTCTAAGATGGATACCCTTATCAAAACTCTATATTGACTCTGACGAGTCCTTGTTCTGTCTCCTAGATGCCAATGCCAGGCAGAGCAACAAGAACCAAATTTGTCTTCTATTATGATGTGGCAGGGGATTGAACCTTCCCTTCCTCTCTCTAGATGCAAATTGGTTCTATTTGTGAACAGCACAACAATACTGAGGTTTCTAAAACATTCAGAATTCATCCCATAAACATTTGGTATGTATGAGCATTAACACATGAACCTACAGACACCAGCTCTCAAGTTCAGCCACCAGGTGGCGGGGGCGGTAACAGCCATTTGAGAAAGGTGGGTGCACACTACTGAGAAAAGTAGGGGTGCACACTTCATTTTCACCCGAGTTTCAATGGTCATTTAACAAACTTTCAGCACAAAAGGGGGGGTGCGCACCCCTCTGGAGCCGCCTATGGGTGGCTATTTCAACAATTAGCATTTCATTATTTCAACCATCACATTCTAATTTCAACCAACAGGCCCCCTTTGCAACCACCAGGTCAATATTTCAACAATCAGATCCCAGTTTCATCTATCACATCCCAGTTTCATCTATCACATCCCTATTTCAGCAACCACATCCCTATTTCAGCAACCACATCCCTATTTCAGCAACCACATCCCTATTTCAGCTTCAGCAACCACATCCCTATTTCAGCAACCACATCCCTATTTCAGCAACCACATCCCTATGTCAGCAACCACATCCCTATGTCAGCAACCACATCCCTATTTCAGCAACCACATCCCTATGTCAGCTTCAGCAACCACATCCCTATGTCAGCAACCACATCCCTATTTCAGCAACCACATCCCTATGTCAGCAACCACATCCCTATGTCAGCAACCACATCCCTATTTCAGCAACCACATCCCTATTTCAGCTTCAGCAACTACATCCCTATGTCAGCAACCACATCCCTATGTCAGCAACCACATCCCTATTTCAGCAACCACATCCCTATTTCAGCAATCACATCCCTATTTCAGCAACCACATCCCTATGTCAGCTTCAGCAACCACATCCCTATTTCAGCAACCACATCCCTATGTCAGCAACCACATCCCTATTTCATCCCATCACATCCCTATTTCATCCCATCACATCCCTATTTCATCCCATCACATCCCTATTTCAGCAACCACATCCCTATTTCAGCTTCAGCAACCACATCCCTATTTCAGTAACCACATCCCTATGTCAGCAACCACATCCCTATTTCAGCAACCACATCCCTATTTCAGCAATCACATCCCTATTTCAGCAACCACATCCCTATGTCAGCTTCAGCAACCACATCCCTATTTCAGCAACCACATCCCTATGTCAGCAACCACATCCCTATTTCATCCCATCACATCCTATTCAGCAACCACATCCCATCACATCCCTATTTCAGCAACCACATCCCTATTTCAGCTTCAGCAACCACATATTTCAGCAACCACCCTATTTCAGCAACCACATCCCTATGTCAGCAAACACATCCCTATTTCAGCAACCACATCCCTATTTCAGTAACCACATCCCTATTTCAGCAACCACATCCCTATGTCAGCTTCAGCAACCATCCCTATCAACCTATCCCTATTTCAGCAACCACATCCCTATTTCAGCAACCACATCCCTATGTCAGCAACCACATCCCTATGTCTATCCCTTCAGCAACCACATCCCTATTTCAGCAACCACATCCCTATCAGCTTCAGCAACCACATCCCTATTCAGCAACCACATCCCTATGTCAGCAACCATCCCTATTTCAGCAACCACATCCCTATTTCAGCAACCACATCCCTATTTCAGCTTCAGCAACCACATCCCTATTTCAGCAACCACATCCCTATGTCAGCAACCACATCCCTATGTCAGCAACCACATCCCTATTTCAGCAACCACATCCCTATTTCAGCTTCAGCAACTACATCCCTATGTCAGCAACCACATCCCTATGTCAGCAACCACATCCCTATTTCAGCAACCACATCCCTATTTCAGCAATCACATCCCTATTTCAGCAACCACATCCCTATGTCAGCTTCAGCAACCACATCCCTATTTCAGCAACCACATCCCTATGTCAGCAACCACATCCCTATTTCATCCCATCACATCCCTATTTCATCCCATCACATCCCTATTTCAGCAACCACATCCCTATTTCAGCTTCAGCAACCACATCCCTATGTCAGCAACCACATCCCTATTTCAGCAACCACATCCCTATTTCAGCAACCACATCCCTATTTCAGCAATCACATCCCTATTTCAGCAACCACATCCCTATGTCAGCTTCAGCAACCACATCCCTATTTCAGCAACCACATCCCTATGTCAGCAACCACATCCCTATTTCATCCCATCACATCCCTATTTCATCCCATCACATCCCTATTTCAGCAACCACATCCCTATTTCAGCTTCAGCAACCACATCCCTATTTCAGTAACCACATCCCTATGTCAGCAACCACATCCCTATTTCAGCAACCACATCCCTATTTCAGCAACCACATCCCTATTTCAGCAACCACATCCCTATTTCAGCAACCACATCCCTATTTCAGCAACCACATCCCTATTTCAGCAACCATCCCTATGTCAGCAACCACATACCTATTTCAGCAACCACATACCTATTTCAGCAACCACATACCTATGTCAACCACATCCCTATTTCAGCAACCACATCCCTATTTCATCCCATCACATCCTTATTTCAGCAACCACATCCCTATTTCAGCTTCAGCAACCACATCCCTATTTCAGCTTCAGCAACCACATCCCTATTTCAGCAACCACATCCCTATTTCATCCCATCATGTCCCTATTTATTCCATCTGTATTTGTTGGTTTGCAGAATTTCTGTAGGGTAATGTCTTATCTGTAAGACTTGAGTTATATTTAAATAGATTTGAAGGGACTGCATTCAAATCCTGGTGGAACTACTGTCATCAAAACAACGCTGAAGTGTCGTAATGACTTAGTGACTCCTGGCACTACAAATTCCTTGTGGATGGGATCCTAGGTTTCAAGCCAGTATTCTTGGTTATTTCCTTAGCTTAAACTAATTTGAATTTTCACTCTGAATGACATTGTTTCAGGCCAGGTTGATTATTCAAACCCCATGACTTGAGAAAATAATGATTCTGGTATCTCACCAAATGATCAAGGGGGTAAACAAAATTGATTTTTGCTGTGTAGAGCAAAACAGACTAAGGGTCAAATGGTAATATTGTCATTCTGAATTAGGTTTAAACCTTGTTGAAATTTTGTCACATGATCTTGGTTTAAACCTTGTTGAAATAATGCTGAATGAACTTGATTTCAACCTTGCTGAAATATTGTTGAATTATCTTGGTTTAAACCTTGTAGAAACATTTCTGAGTGAACTTGGTTTAAACCTTTCTAAAATGTTTCTGAAAGACCTTGGTTCAACAATTGCTGACATATTGTTAAATATCTTTGAAATATCTTTGAAATACGGCTGAGTGAGCTTGGTTCCATGCTGGAATGTTGCCCGAAATGGTTTTGGTGTAAACCTTGTGGAAACTTTGCTGAATTACCTTGGAGTAAATATTGTTTTTTTGTCACTGAATGACCTTTACTAAAACTTGTTGACATGTTGTAGAATAGCTTTAAACTAAACCTTATTGAAACAGTTTAAGCCAAGTTGAAAAGCCTGTGAAGGAATTGGTTTCTGCGAAGGTAGGTTACATCAGAATCAAGATGCAGCTAGAAACAAATAAATACCTCTTTCAATTAAACAAATATTTATTTCTGATTAACACATTTGTACAAATGAATACAAAACAGTCACATACATACGGTAGACAAGAAATAGCATTAAAATCACAGTATTAATCGGATACGATAAATCAGATGACAGGTCTGTATATATCAGAGCTCAGATAAGGGCCGTATCAACGTATGTACGGATAAAAAATATGCACGATACGGTAGGAAATAATTTTGAAAACGTAGCAGATATGCACCACAGCAATGGTGTATGAATCATTTACAGACATATTTATATGAAAAAGTATTGTTTTATTGTTTATTGACCTGTTTACACAAGAGTAGCAATGTTGTGGTGCATATACCAAACGAAACACAAGAATACTGATTACTAATTTCCATTCAGTACTCTAAATGTACTCTTAAGTTTTTCCAGTACTCCTATATTGAAAAAATAAGGAGTACATACTCCTGATGTTGAAAAATTATCTGGAGCCCTGATATATGAAATCAGCCAATTACTGCTGAGACATAGAATCTCAGTTTGAGTGAGCAGAGCGTCCGGTAAAAGCATATCTGATTACTGTCTCTCATAAATGAAGTAAAACCACATATACTGAAGATAAATACAGTTATATATATCATGACTGAAAGGTCTGATTCTAATGACATTAGTAGACAGAAACAATGATTGGAAACATATCACAACATACACAGTAAACCAGCCACCATATCTTGATATGTCGTGTATATACACAGTACTCAAGGCTTGTCAGGAATATTCTGAATATTCTTGTGTACAATATTCTTATATCTGGAAACAGCAAATGAAAAACAATCATTAAGGATAGATCACAGAAAAACCTTAATGATTGTAGAGTAGAATATTTATGCATACATTTTGGTTACAACGATGAGTGGTTCCAATCTCAGGTGATCTGGACATCGGACAAGTACACTGTTTTGCTGTTTTCTCTCAACTGTTTGTTTTCTCTCAACTGTTTGTTTTCTTTTCATAAAATACTGACAAGACAGTGTGATGCAACATTAAAACAATGATAAAAATATCAAGATAAAGACAAATGGATTAGGATCAGCCAGGAAACCTGAAGCAGACATCTATTTTTGGGTCGCCCTTATGCCTTCACTGCAGCCAGCAGTACCTGGTGACAAGCTGTAATGTCTATTGCTTCTCCCCCTCAAATAATACAATGAAATAGAAAAAAACATGACGTTTAACAGGTATAACAGGTACTGTCTGTCTATTGGATATTGTACAAAATGAACGTGTTGTTAAGTCATTACAAGTTAGGTGTATAAAACATACAGCATCTTTATTTCTTTGCAAGAATTACCAATATGATGAATAATGTACACAATTGTATGAATATGTCAATCAGTTTCTAAAATAATGATTAACTTCTGATTGAAATTGCGTTTACCACACATCCAGACTATCCTGTTAATGAAGTATAAAATTTCAAAGCGGCTCACAAAGCAGTAAAAATCTTTTCTGGTGAATATTGAGTGTGAATAAAAACGTAACAAGAGTATAAAAGCGCATTCAGGTATTGCTTGAGTGAAATAAAATTTCATCACAATGCTTTGCTGGCCATTATGACATCATCATTTACCAAGACCTCAGAATCAAACAACCTTATCAGTGAGTTTGCCACTCGGGCTAGTTAGCTGTTATTCTAGAGCTAACTATATTGTCATTACACATAAGAAACTAAATACTGGAAAGAATAAGTTTGGATGGTTAACATTATCTAACTCTTGTGCCTTTTGATATGAAATATATCAACATCCTTTGATACATATGAATATTTGTAAGTCTATAGGACACTAGCCATATTAACTCTCAAACTTCAGAAAACAGGGATTGTAGTGTGTGAGTTAAAATTTAAAGTCACCTCGGCAATATTTCAGCCATATAGTGACAGGGATTGTAGGAGACAATAAATAGACATCTAACAAAGATAAAATACCCTGTGCATACAAAGTCCCTATGAGACTGGAGACAACTGAATCAGTTCTTGAATTTTCTTAGGAATATAGTATTTACAGTTTTTCATTAATCACCCCATTTGAAATATCTTCTTCAGCTGAAGGTGACTTGTCTTCCATCTCTACAGCCATGTTGTCATAAGTAACAACAGTGCCGTTGGTATGATCTGGCTTGTACAGGTCTTCCTTATCGTTGAAATCCTTCTTGAACCGGTAATGCCAGATTAGGCAACTCGCTGCAACAATGGCCACCATGATACCAGCCGCTATACCACCGATTATGGCATTACTCCGATATTGGTCGTGAAGCTCGGTAAAATCGGCGCCATCCACATTGACGCCCTTTCTGACTGCTTTGACTGTGTTGTCATTGAATAGAATCACACAGTGGTAGTAGCCAAACATGGCATCGGAAACCTTGGTGATGTTGAGTGTGTAGCCATGAGGGGATAGAGCCAAATTCATGGGCAGATTGTTTGAAGCTGCGTCAACTAGGACTCCATCTGTCAAAATCCAGTGCAAGTTTCGGACTTTGCTCATATTGTCAGAGATATTTAGTGCTAAACTGTCGCATTGCAGACTGACATCCGTAAAGTATTTCACTGTTATGTCCATTGAGGCTTTATCCTGACCTTCAACAGGGATGAGGCAAACCAAGATGGCCACCAAAACACCGACAAACTTCACACCCATCCTGATGAACTGGTAACTGCAAAACATTAAGATGTTTAATGAATACAGAATGAAATAGATGGCAATGTTTAGTGAGTACAGAATGAAATTTGGTCAGTTTTAAAATAAGTTACATGTGAACGACAATTTAATAGCAAATAAGAAAAGTAACAAACTTTCCTTTTAAAAAGTTATATAGTTGAAAATACTTGAAAACAAAATACTGTTTTTACTTTCAAAATACGTTTTAATGAAAGATGTAGTTAAATGTTAAAAGTTGTTGATTCAGGTTGTTTATATGTGACTGTCTGGACTCATCAAGGATCTAAACTAAGTGTCCTTGACAGGGTAATTGGGATATTAAATATTCATTGTTTGTTCAAAATTAGGATTTTGGGCTTCTCCGTTTCCTCAATTCTGTGATATATAAGCAGTGTGCGAAATAGCCACGGGCCCGCTAGCCTGTGGCTAGTAAAACTCCAATCGGGCCAGTAAATCTCCACAGTCACTGGCCCGACTGGATAGTGAATTTTCATAGGGTCATTTATTTTTGATGGTATTTTACCTTTTTGCATCTTTTGCTTAGTTTCTACATTCAAATGTCGGTCCAATGAATTATTTTGTCACAAATTGTGGGCTAGTAACTTTCAGGCATAGCTAGCCTGAGTGGCTGGCAAAATGGTTGGAAACTATTTCGCACACTGAATATAAGTCTCTTCCCCTACATTGTTCCAATTATAATGATATACAAACCGATATACCAGTTACCTCCATAAAGCCATAAAGCCTTAACTGTGATAAAATAGACTGGGTCAATTGTAATTTCATTTTGGGAATATTTACTGAATGGAAGATTGGCCTCTGAGCAAGTCTAGTTTCATTTTTGTTTGTTTGGTGATTGCAACTGATCTCTTTCCACTGCCCTGTTTACTTTAAAACACACAGGTGACCTTACAATCACGATTCTTACATCTACAAACATGACCTATATTCCCAACACAAAATTTACATCATACATATAAACAGAGAGATTTTATTACAGCGACAAACAGCTCAATAGTTCAGACTACTTTTAGGAAATTGCTGTTTGGGTGGTTAGAGTGGTCACTTTGAATGGGGATGCTTAATTATTACTACTTATTTAAGGAAGCTTAAGTTTGGCTGGCATGAACAAAAACAAATAGCTTGGGGAAAGGGGAGTGAGGATTTTATGTAGGTACCTCATGGTTTGGAGTGAGTGAGTGTAGTTTTACGCCACACTCAGCAATATTCCAGCTATATGGTGGTGGTCTGGAAATAATCAAGTCTGGACCAGACAATCCAGTGATCAACAGCATGAGGATCGATCTGCGCAATTGGAAACCGATGACATGTGTCAACCAAGACAGCGAGCCTGACCCCCCGATCCCGTTAGTCGCCCATCCTACTGAATATTCTTTCTAACCCAGACCTTCACGAGTCTCATGGTTTGGAAACTCATGAACCGGTTACTGAAATCATGTCTGATTAACTGAAATAATAAGTACAATGTACAAATGTTCAAACAAAACAATTCATTCCACAAATATTCATATCATATGTTTATTGCATTGTTTCCTGCTTTGCAAGTGCTCATCGACATACTGAATTACAACCTTTACTTCAGTGGGAAAAGCAGTATCTGTGGTTGCAGGTTCGATTCATGTCATAGAATTTTTGTGTGAATTTTAACCAGTCAAAAATTAACAATAGCTGCATATTGTTCATAATTCAAAATAATAAGTAAAGTAGAATCTCACCGAAGTTTTTTAAATATGACAAATCAGGGCTACAAGCCATGGCGACCAAAGTATAAATTTTGATGTTCCCCACTAATGGGGCAGTGAGGTAGTTTAATGGTTAACGCATCTGTTGCCATGCCAAATGTCCAGGTTTGATTCTCCACATAGAATGTGTGAAGCAATGAAGCAATTTCTGGTGTTCTCCATTGTGATATTGCAGGAATATTGCTAGAAAGAGACATAGCACCATTCTCACTCACTCACTCCATATTAAGGAGTGTCTAGAGATCAGTGCGACCATGTCACACATGCCATCACTAAATATTAATATTTTATTATTTTCAATTGTCACTTATGGAGTTGAGGAAATGAGAAACAAGTTAATCATAGTCCAAATTGATGAAGCAGTGGGGCACCCTAGTGGTGAAAGCATTTGTTCACATCAAAGACCAAGGTACGATACCCTGCAAGTGTACAATATGTGAAGGTTTCCTACTTCCGATGCATGGATACAATTTTTCATCCCTGAATACATGAAGTATTAATTCAAGCATTCCCTTCGCTACCTGGAATCTTATCTTAACTTTGCCATTATGTATTTAACCATGCCACTGACTCTAATACACAAGGAATTTCAAACACTGGACGTCTGACACAATACTTGCCTACTACTATATTTTATGTTTCCCTCACTTGACTCAGATTCTGAGTCACCATGGTTATCAAGCATTGCACTGCAGGATTAGAGCTATGAAAGTAATAGTGGGGTAGCCTAGTGGTTAAAGTGTTCGTTTGTCACACCAAAGACCAGGGTTTGATTCCTCATATTGGTACAATGTGTGAAACTCATTTCTGGAATTGCTGGAATGTTCTGGAATTGCTGGAATATTGACTGACTGAGTTAAGTTTTTTACGCTGCTTTTAGCAATATTCCAGCAATATCACGGCAGGGGACACCAGAAATGGGCTTCACACATTGTGCCCATGTGGCGAATCGAACCTGGGTCTTCGGCGTGACGAGCCAACGCTTTAACCACTAGGCTACCCCACCGCCCCTGGAATATTGATAAAATCGAAGTAAACCCATATTAAATCACTCACTCTCTGAAAGTAATTTGTTTTTCTGTTGTTGGCTATGGCAGTCAGAAGAGTGAGTGAGTGAGTTGGGTTTCACACCGCTTTTTAGCAATATTCCAGCGATATCACAGTGGAGGACACCAGAAATGGGAATCACACAATGTAGGGAATTGAACCCGTGCCTTCAGCATGACAAGCGAACACTTCAGCCACTACTCTACCCCACCATCCCCTGGTTAGAAGAGGCAACCTAATAGATGGGGTGGTCAGAATCAGAGATGCCACATCAGAGGCATGGACAGTTATTAATAACATAAATCACAAGGCTGTCTGTTCCAGATACTTATATTTTGTCATATTGCAATAAACACTAACTAACTCCATCAAAACCCCTTCTCTATACTAAACTGAAGGCCCGATTTGTATGCTAAACTGACAGCACCCCTTCTATGCTTAAGTGATTGTCCCTATTTTGTGACTGCATGATAATTGGTCTCTATGCTAAAACAAAAGCCTCAATCTATAACAAAATGAGTCATTTCTCAATGCATGAGACAAGCCTCCTCTATACTCAAATAGTAATCATTGGCGGATCCAGAGGGGGTTCAAACCCCCTCTTTTGAAAATGACTAAAGGCCACATTGAAGTTAATCTGGTTTACATTGGTGGAGCCAAGGTGGGGTTCAGGGGGTTCGGGACACACACACGCACGCACGCACGCACGGACGCACGCCACACACACGAACACACACACGAACACGAACACACACACACACACACACACACACACACACCTTGAAAACTCCTGGATCCGCCTATGATAGTCATGTCTCTACAACCTTGAGCCATCTCTAATCTAAAGTGTCTGTGTGTGTCTTACCATTAATGTTTGTTTTTTTTAATTTTCTTATCTTATCATGTATTTACGACCTACTTCTTCAAGTCTACAATTGTTTCAAACATTAAAGTAGGCAACACTGTTACACAAATTATTTTTCTGTGTTGAAAAAGCAAAACATATCTAGTAAGACATTTCTCATATGTGATCTGAATATGTCATGTGTATATTAATAAACAAACTGATTCAGCAAATAGCGTCTTGTCAACCAACAAAGCTTTTAATTAAAGACATCCGTGCAGGTAAAATATACATTGTAAAAGCTCAAGATAAGTCACAAATACTTACCTTAGAATCTGTGACGCTATATGACGTGAATATCACAACTAGAGACAGCAAGGCATTGTGTGATTTGAGAGAGCGTCCCAAGTGAGGAGAACACCACACACCACAGAAAGTATGTTTACTTGGGCTGGTCTATAGTGGAGGGGGAAAAGGTGCACAAATCTACACAGCTTTTAATATTTTAAAGAAACTATCCGACAATATACATATAGATAATATCAAATTGGTATTAAGTAAAAGCTGTTTCCTCAGTCATATCCAAATGGTATTATAATAAAGAGGTTTCGTCAGCCATCTTTTGTACTTGGTTTTCTTTTGCCCTTTTGAAAATGTAAATTCTCGTATCCTCTACGTGTAAATTGTAAAGAATCCTTGAATGCAGATATTTCAATCTTGAATACATGGGCATGTAGACAAGCTGTATGTGGTAAGCACAAGTTGAATGTTGTGTGAGCATTCACTGCGTGTTCATACTGAATAACATGTGACTGTCAGTGGGTGGGGGTGAGAGAAGAAGTGGTGGGGTCGGAGTGAGGATGGTGATAGGGTTAAGGAAGGGGGTGGGTGTGTTTTGAAGCAGTGGTGGGGGTTATTGGTGAAAGAGTGGTGTAGACTGTGGAAGGGGTGAGGGTTGAATGAAAAAAGGAAACGGTTGGTGTTGAGGCAGGGGTGAGGGTGTTGAGGCAGGGGTGGGGGGATTGCAAGGGTGGGGAGTGTTGAGGCAGGGGTGAGGGGATTGAGGCAGGGGGGTGGGGTGTTGAGGCAGGGGTGGGGTGTGTTGAGGCAGGGGTGGTGGGGTGTTGAGGCAGGTTGAGGCATGGTGAGAGGATTGAGGCAAGGGTGGGGGTGTTGAGGCAGGGTGAGGTTGTTGAGGCAGGGGTGAGGGTGTTGAAGCAGGGGCAAGGGTGTTGAGGCAGGGTGAGGTTGTTGAGGCAGGGGTGGGGGATTGAGGCAGGGGTGAGGGACTGAGGCAGGGATGAGGGTGTTGAGGCAGGGTGAGGGGGTTGATGAGGCAGGGTTGAGGCAGGGGTGGGGGATTGAGGTAGGGGTGAGGTGTTGAGGCAGGGGTGAGGGAATTGAGGCAGGGGTGTTGAGGCAGGGGTGAGGTTGTTGAGGCAGGGGTGAGGGGTGTTGAGGCAGTGAGGGGTGAGGTTGTTGAGGCAGGGGTGGGGGGATTGAGGTAGGGTAAGGGTGTTGAGGCAGGGGTGAGGGGATTGAGGCAGGGGTTAGGGTGTTGAGGCAGGGGTGGGGGATTAAGGCAGGGGTGAGGGTGTTGAGCCAGAGGTGGAGGGATTAAGGCAGGGGTGAGGGATTGAGGAAAGAATGGTGTAGAGAGTGGGTGGCGTGAGGGTGGAGTGAGGAAAGAGAAAGGGTGGGTTAAGACAGGATTTGGGGAGTGTTGAGGCAGGGGTGAGGGTGCTGAGGCAGGGGTGGATTGAGGAAACAATGGTGTAGAGTGTGGGTGGCGTGAGGGTGGAGTGAGGAAAGAGAAAGGGTGGGTTTAAGAAAGGGATCAGGGGTAAGGGTTAGGATTGAGGCAGGGGTGTGGATGGAGTGGTTAAGGAAGGGAAGGTGAGAAACTGATAGACACAAGCCTCACTCACATCAATCCCCTCCCTACTCCTCAGCACTGGTAGAATCATTTAATAATTTATCAAATTATTAAGTCACAAACATTAATATGTCCCTTGACAAATCAAGGCCAAACAAAGTAACAAACAAATGTTACTTTAAAATATATCTACAGTAAGGTCTAAATCCAGACCAAAAGTCCCAGAGGTTGCCTGAGTACCCTCAAACAATAGACTGTGCCATGTATATCTAATGCGTACGAGGTCACACAGAATGCAGTAGACACGGGGTCGTATGTATCGTCAGTAGAGCTGCATAATAAATTACACCTGTCGACAGGTGAGACCAGCAACATATCGTGAATCTGGGCTGTGTATATTTACTCACACGTATGCCTAGTTTAGTATTTCAGAATTGTCTCAGGGCCTGTTTTAATAATGAACAGCCTTGTACAAACACTCTGTGGAATAATATTGGTCAGGCTTTGTCTACACTGTCGATATAATGCAAGAGCTCTATGGCCTCTCTGGACACTTCACCATGCAACAGCCTTGAGGATATAGATTGTCTATATCAAGTACACACTATGCTGGCAACCTTGATCTGAAAAGATCTCGGCTGTAACATCTTGGTACAAAAAACATGACAACATGAAAATAACTCGACTCGAAAACCAGCGTGTTTTGAACCTGCAAAAGAAAGTATGTGTCATTATTTACTTCATGATAAAAATGTAGTCCTAAATCTAAGTTGGTTAAAGTCCATACAGTATGATAAAGGGACAATCTCTACTCCATATTAAAGTGATAGATCACACAGTACTAAAGAAACAGTCATCACTCCATGTTATAGTTCCTATTCTATTCCACAGGTACAGGCAGGTATCTGAGACAGGAGCTTGGCTTAATGCTGCTTTGACATGTATTCCCATGTTATTATAATTATGGCATGTCAGTACAGGGGCGGATACAGCTTTTTAAGAAAGGAAGGGGGTGCAAACAATGGAGAAAGGAGGGGTGCACACTTCATTTTGAAGAGAGTTTAAATGGTCATTTAATAAAGTTTCAGGATAATAGGGGGATGCAGGCACGCAAGCACCTATTATATTCAGTGTGATGAAGGAGGAAAGCTTGAAATGAGGTTCACAAGTTTCTGGCGTACCCAAGGGACACAATTCCGCACAGCAAATTGTGAAGGTTGAGGCTGCTGGACCACCTGTAACCCAAACCTGAGCAGGAAAGATTAATGAATGTCAAATAGTGATTCCAGAATGACAATAAACCAGGTTAGAATTGGTCTCCAGCAACCTATGCTTGCGTAAGGGGCGACTAACGGGATCGGATGGTCTGGCTTGCTGACTTGGTTGATACATACGATGTATCCCAACTGCGTAGGTCGATGCTCATGCTGTTGATCACTGGATTATCTCGTCCAGATTTGATTATATATAGACCGCCGCCATGTAGCTGGAATATTGCTGAGTGTGGTGTTAAACAATAAACAAAACAAACGTGGGCATTTAGTAATGAAGCTATATGGTTGTTGGGCCAGAATTGTAATAATGTCAACATTACCTTAATTACGTCTTGTGGCTGCGTTTTCTGTTTGATTTTTCACAACCATTTCGTCATCCAGAGGACGAGGTTCGAATCCCCAAAGATTACTTCGTACTTACTCCTTCTGGCACCATGTCTCTGTGGTTCCGCAACCCAAAATGTTACCTCGTATCTGATTGGCTGTTCTGTCGTCCCATCCAATAATGTTCAGTATTTTTTTCTATGTCACACTTAGCAAACATAAAAAGCTACATATCCTCCTGAACAATATCTAGATATTCCAGACTATCCAGTGATCGATGTTGGTAGCACCTAAGTACGAAGACACGCGTATAGGTCGACCGTGATTCGCTCTACCCGGAACCCTACAATAGTGCAGTCCTCTTGACTTGATTTGGGATTTGAGACAGTCGTGTACTCCCCTACAGATCGCGGAAGAGTACCCATCTATATATTTATACAAGGGTGTGATGGTAAATTTAACGCTGTAAATGTTCACTGTTCATTTTATTAAGTGTTATTTAGTGCAGTTTAGCCTGATTATGAGGCACCGAACTCAGATCGCAGGGGCGGGTACAGCTTTTTAAGAAAGAAGGGGTGCACACTCTTGAGAAAGAGGAGGGGCGTAGTTTGTACACTTCATTTTCTCCCGTTTACACGGGCCATTTAATAAACTTGAGAAAGGGGGGGGGGGGGTAGTTTGCACACTTCATTTTCACCCGTTTACACGGGCCATTTCATAAACTTTCAGGACAAAAGAGGGGATGCACCCCCCTAGGACTTCTGTCACGTGACACATATGATCTCACCTTAAGCAAGTAAATTGTTTAAAACTGCTTCTGTTCACTCATCAGAAAATGGGTACCCGGTGGGTACAACCTTCTAGCGCCTCAAAGGCAGCTTGGATTAATGGGGGTAATGACTATTATGATTCTAAGATGCTTCGTTGAAAGATCAAAGTCGCCGACACTACATTATCACACGATTTAAAGTGCGAGCATTCTAAATTTAGGTCACCAACACCGTCGTTTGTTTTCTGCCTTAGATTAATCGTAATTATCCTTTGAAAGTATTAAATTTGGCATCTAAGAAAAGAAATACAGTTCGTTCTACCACCATGTACAGTGTAATAAAGCACACCTTCGCCCTGAATTATTATAGTTAAGCACGAGGACATGGTGGTAGAGCGAACTGTATTTCTTAATTCTAAGATGTTTCGCTAAAAGATCAAAGGCGCACTTTTTTACATGACGTCACACTGTATTAAGGTCACTGCGCCATTCTCGTCTGCCCCGTCGTAATGAAACATACCCTTGGTATCTGACGCCACGATGCATGTCAATATTGTCATTGCCTCGTACAATCTCCTACAGTAAACTACTCAGTAGCACCCCGTTTGTTGGGTTGCAGTTGCTTCACTCGGCTAACATCGATCACTGGTGAAAATATTATGTTATTACCCATATGGGTAAACAAAACCAGTGTCATATACATGTATATTATATACCATCCCAAAAATAGTTGGCGATATTGGATTTACAAGATTGATAAAATGTAAATGATGAAGCCAAGGAGGAAACAGAAATTAAAAGGAAAATGTGACAATTTATTCCATTCCTTTGGAAATGTTTCATCTGTATGGATATATATTACTTTTCTCATATCCATTGGCATTGGCTAGTGGTATGCTCGCAAAATGGAATATCCACTACTTTTTTAATGGTATATATGCAAACATTGTTTCTGCATTTCGTTGTCTGTGACGTCATTAAACAATTGAAAGTGACGTCAGTGAAGAGGGCCGTCACACTTGAATGCCCTGTTATACTGAACAAATGTACATGCATAAAATGGAAAAAAATAGACATTATTACACGAGCAAGTGTGTCATGCGACACATCATGACACACATTGCTCGAATGTAACAATTTCTGTATTATCCATTTTATTCATGTACATTTATGCAGTAAAACACCGTAAGCAAGTGTGACGGCCCACTCCATTGACGTCACGTTCAATTGTTTAATCTCTTCTAAGATTTCAAACCATTTAAGGGCAATATGAACGTCGCATTTCTACTACCAACGTAAGTTTAGATCAGTACATGTATCCAAATGAAGCAAACAACTCACGCGACATTTCACGGATGCATTGTGGGAATGTAAACATTGTTCACGTTTAATTGTGGGTCGAAAAACATACACGGAATGTTTCCACCAGTGACGTTAGCCGAGTGAAGCATCTGCTAACCAAGAAACGTGGTGCTGTACGGAGTATTTTACTGTAGGAGGCTGTACGAGGCAATGTCAACTTATATGCATTGTGGCGTCGGTTACCAAGGGTACGTTTGATAACGAGGGGGCAGACGAGAAAGGCGTAGTGACGTCAATACAGTGTGACATCATACAAAAAAGTGTACTTTATCGACCGATAAAGTACTGTCGGCACCTTGATCTTTTAGCGAAGCATCTTACAATGTCCATTATACTGTGTGCGCTTAGAACATGCGACGTGGACTTCAGCGCTTTATATTATAATTATCTCAATATCATATTTTTGTAAGTATCAGAAAAAGTCCAAAGTATTCAATCTCATCAAAACCACATCGTTTACTGCAATATACGATGCCTGCGTGAAGATCTGGGGACGCTTTCAGATAATGTTACGTCGCATGAACCCTCACCAAAATTAGTCGCCCAGTCTACGCGAAGGGTGTGCTGGCAGTCGTATATTGTCAGGTTTCCGTTTCATGTCTTTACCACCTCGATTCGGAAATTTTGATTTGTGAAATGAAAACCCATGCACCCAGAGCAAATATATCTTTAGACCGTACTCCCATTCTGGAGTAGATGCCATGATTCTAAGAAACGCTGGTGAAAACATATTCACAACAATACATTGGCCGGCGCCTGGTCTCATTTGTTTATGAAATCGGAGGTACCCGATTACATTGTTTTTCGAGATATACAAAATTAGATACGCACATTGTTTTTCGAGATATACAAAATTTGATACGCTTCTCTGAATGCCTCGCTGAATACTGTCGAGGAATTTACAAGACTCACCTGACGCGATCCACGCTAGGAGTCGTCCGATCTTTACCTTGTGGGGTGTTTTGTTGGAGTAGATCTGATTATAATGAATTAGATTTACCCCTCGTTGTCTCTTTTTCAGACTGGGGAAAGACGTCAATCTTGTTAAATGTCATATTAACGGTATCTGTAAATAAACAGTGTCTGCATTGTCTCAGTTTTTTTCACCTTTCCCATGCACGAAGAAAAGAAGCGGCAGTATAATCTGCTCTCATATTGTAGGAAAACATTCCTTGCCCTTGTGTAATGTAGTCTGACATCAGCTCCATACACACTATGTTAAATCTAAGGTAGATTAGCTTCTAATTGAAAAAATTAAGGATTGATCGCAAATCATCCACAGATCAACAAGTGTTTGCTTAATTATCTTTTTTTATGTGTGTATTTCGTTGATACGTCTACAAGGTCATCGGGAATCAGCTTTACAGAATGTACAGTAACGAAGCCAAATCTTTGGTATCACGAACGGATGCTAAACCGGGCTACCACACCCTAGACTGAACTTGAAAACATCTACGATGTGTTGCACAATGACCACGACCACTTTCATATCGATGTGTACCCGTAAATAACAACCACATGCAATGTACATTTTAAGTGCGCACACCAAATTATACGATATTCTACACCAAGAGTCCGAGCATTTACAGTATTTAGAAATTATTCAAAATAATATTAAAATTTCACAAATAAATTAAAATCTCATAATAAATTATTATAAATAAATAAAGTTTTAAAATTATGAAATGCCTGTTTATGCCAGAGTAGCGACTGGGGAGAAACCTCTGTTGCCTTGCTGGCTTCGTATGTCCTGACACTCCGACTGTTTGGACCGATGCTCATTCTATCAGTCACTGATTAACCTGCTCCACGTCTTTATACGCAGCCGCGTGACAGGTTTATTTATAAAGATGGAGACTTTAGTTATAACACACAACCATAATTCAATAATCATTGGACCGCCTCCGTGGTGTAGTGGTTAGAGCGTCCGCCCGGAGAGCGGAAGGTCGCGGGTTCGATCCCCCACCGCGTCATACCAAAAGACGTTAAAATATGGTACTTGTTGGTCCCTGCCTGGCGCTCGGCATTAATGGGTACAACAAGGACTGGTCGGCTCGGAGTCAGTATAATGTGTCTGAGTGGGGTATTCATGCTTCACTGCGTCATGGTATCTCAGTGGGCTAGCACTATAAAACCAGCTTAAGTCTGGGCTAGTACAAGCAGCCACGCATGCACGTCGTCATATGAGCGAAATATTCTCAAGCACGACGTAAAACCCAATTTCACCTCACCTCAATAATCATTGATGCTAAAAGCGGCGTAAAAATAAACTCACTCACACAATAATTATTGACAATCATTGCTATGATCCACAATTGTTTTGGGTCAGTCGCATGGGTTTGACGCCGACAATAAAATCCAAAGTGAAGCAGAAAGTTGAACACAACTTACGAAAATTGATCTCCGACTGTACCTGTGGTGAGCTGAGAGTGATTGTTGTTTAACGCCACAAGTTCTAGCTATAAATATTCGAGTCTGGACCCTACAATTCAGTGATTGATATGAGCAACGACCAGGGTGACTACGTTGCTAGGATACATATTCTATCTCTGCATCTAAACAAGCTGAAGGACATATATCGGCAAAACATTGAATGAGAATGAGAATCGTTTTCATATATTGGCAAGATTTTTATTGCACTAGATATACAATACACATACTCTAATATAGAATTAGTAAAGAATGAACCAATTTTGCTGGTTTACAGAGGCAAGGGAACTACGGGAAGACTGGGTTTCCTTCAGGACAGAATCTCCATATCTTGCCTGGTGCGGGTGAAGAAGCACTGGTCTGGAATCCTGCTTCACCAATCGCCCCTTTCCGTAACCAAAAACGAGCCAAATCGGATTGTACCGGAATAACACGAATGGGTCACGAATGGTCTCGAATGGCCACACTGGACCCTTTTCGTCATTCGTAACTACTCGCCTCTTTCCGTGACCTACAATGCCTTTTCGTAACCTATTCGTGTTTTTCCGGAATCACGAGTTAGTCACAAATGGAAATGGTCTTTCTGGTTGCAGAAAGGGGAGAGGGGTGACAATTAGTATGGAATGCTACAAGAAGCCATTCGGAAGCTTTTCTCGGAATGAGACGAATCGTCTCGAATACAAAGAGGTATTTATTGGACATGAATAGAGTGGGTTATGATGGATGGGTTAAGAGATGAAAAAACATCACAGATTCACGTCGTAGGAGGCCAACAGTAAAACAGTCACATTATTTCAAGACAATGTACGAACATGTGTTTCACATTAAGCAGAGGCCTCTAATAAATAATAACAACGGAATGACATATGATTCGTGTGATTGTAAAACGCTACTGATGCTTCTTCAAAATTTCTTTTGCCTTTATGGAGGTAAAAACCAGTATTCATTCTGTGCCAATCCGCGTATTTTGCGCTAAATGTTCACACCGAGTTTTACGGTTTTTACAACACAAACGCAAAAAACACAAAATGTTATTAAATCAGCGAAATGTAGCTCTAAAGTTCGACACAACAATACAACATAAGCCTGTCCTTTCTCTATTATGAGCCAATGAAACAAACAAACTACACACGTAAATAGAAAGACACTTCAGGTTTCAGGGAACATCTTGTACTCATTAGTCAGGAAGCACCAATACCTACACTCGTTACATACACGGCATGCACAAAACATGTTTATTCAATAAACAGGGTATATGTGAAATTGGATAAAGTAGATATTGATACGAAAAGGGTAAAATACTGGAAGCTCTATTGGATACAAAATTGAAAACGTACAAAAAAATCACAAAAATATACTTTCGATTACAGCAAAGAAAATTGTAAATCACATTCATATGAACCACATGAAAGGTAACATTTACGCAGAATTTCAAAAGGTAAATTGTCTAAAACAGTCTCTTGTAAGTCTAGCGCCTTTGTTCATGTCTTATATATATATACCCTTGATATACGAGTTAAAAGGACAAAGGCTTCTCTGCGAGTTCGAATGACAGCTGGTGACACTACATGTTCCGGTATAAAAATATACTTTCGATTACAGCAAAGAAAATTGTAAATCACATTCATATGAACCACATGAAAGGTAACATTTACGCAGAATTTCAAAAGGTATATTGTCTAAAACAGTCTCTTGTAAGTCTAGCGCCTTTGTTCATGTCTTATATATATATACCCTTGATATACGAGTTAAAAGGACAAAGGCTTCTCTGCGAGTTCGAATGACAGCTGGTGACACTACATGTTCCGGTATAAAGCAGAGACGATTAAGGTGAGGGGGTTCTGTTTTGTTTCAGACATACACATTTCTTTTTCAGAACACCAAGAAAGTCTAACTGAGATATGTTTCGAGCAATATCGTTATCAGGTTATTTTACATTCGTAACTACTCGTGTCATTCCGACAAGCCGGATGGCTCTTCTTGTAGGTCACGGAAAGAGGCGAGTAGTTACGAATGGTTATTTCACTTAAAATTACTCCTCGGACATCAACCTCCCTTCCACATCAACGGCAAAAGAAACAATAGGGGAAAACGTTTCTTTTGTTATTTTTGTTTACAGATGTGTGGATTCTGCATCTTTAGGGGAAAAAACTGGATTATCATAGGAAGCGGCGCCGTTGTGGGGGGCAGATTTCGTGGGAAGCTCGCCAGCCTCGGCCTCGTGTTGTCTTCTCAGCAGGTACTTGGCATGTTTCGACGCATCCCGATCCTCCTGCGTCTTGAAGCGCCACTTGTAGATGGCGCACATTGCCACCAGCGGAACGAAGAAGACGGCAGCGGCAATACCGCCAACCATGACGTTGTTCCGGTACATGTCGAACTTGTCCCGCATGCTAGGTTGATATAAGTTGATTGCTCGGTTGATCTTTCTGACAAAAAACATGTTTCTGGAAACCATGCAAAGGTACACACCACTGTCCTCATGCTGAACCCGCTTCACCGTTAGCGTGATTCCACGGACAGGCCCTGTGTCTGACAAGCGGTACTTGTCACTGCTGGTCATGATTGCCATACCTTTCGGAGAGTGCCACTTAACCATATCGCCGTCTTGGACAACGGCATCGGAGTCGTTGCAGTGGATCTCGATGTCGGTGTCTATTTCTGTTTGGTACGACCACTCTGGTTTCTTGTGAAAGTCCAGATCAGCAGACTGTGCGATTCCAATGGCTGCCACCATCAGCACGGCACACACGTGAAGAGCCATGGCGAGTTCCTGAAAGAAAACGCAACATTTTAGGACTTTCTAAGGTGTCAGTGTTGTGTTGCAGGCCTTCTCAAGCGCCTTGCAAATTCAAAGCATTCCTTTTTTTAGTCTTTCTTATTTATGATTCATCATATGGACTGGTTAATTATTATAAATTTGTTATGTTACATGTAACATTCTTCCAGGATACTCCCTCCCTATAATAAACGGTCATGTAATAATGTTCACATCTGAGAACGGTTTTGTGTGAAAGGGAAGGGTATTAGGGAATAATCTGGCCCATATGTGCGTGAACAACATTTTGCCGACCCGTCCACATTGTGTAATATTAATTGAAAGCTGGATCTTAGAGTTTTTCGGAAAGCGTTTTCGGATATTTGAACTGGAGAGTCCTTGACCCAGACCGATTTTCTCGGAGTTGAACAGATACCCCAACATGCCCTTAGATAAAAGACTTGATCATTAAGCATTTACATTCTACAGAACGTCGCAATAATCTGCCACCGTACTTTTATATTTAGAAGTGTCCTAGCAAGGTAGACGATGCAGTACTTCATTGTAGGATGATCTGTTTGATTGGCATTTAGAAGTTGGTGACTAATAAGAAAGTAAGATTGTTTATGGATAACAACTTCTTACCGAAACGTCGCATCATATATCATAAAAGAAGTTGTTATCAATAAACAATCTTACTGTTTTACTTTATTGTAGTTGACAGAAAGTAGTACAAGATATAAGACTAGGTAGGAAGGGTAGTAATTGGCATGTAGGGTGGTATGTCATATTTCATATATACATATTACATACATATGTAGGGGTTTGGGTTAAGAGTCGGGGTTGGGGTAATAGTGTTAGGTGTGGCAGAACATATTTTGGTACAGATTGTGTCCAAGGGAATATATATTTGAAATGAGCCTGAAAACCTGCCTCACATGAACATGCACGTGTAAACTGGGGAGCATTGAACTCATTAATAAACATTTTCTGGAGTGTATCGCACTGTTTTTATGCGTGATTTTCAAATCCACGCGGCTGGGCAGCCTAGTGGTTAAAGACTCGCTCGTTACGCCGAAGACCAAGGTTCGACGTGTCAAGACACTGTCTGATGTCCTCCGCATTGATATTGCTATAAGTGGCGTAAACATCATTCACCCACTCCTTCAATACCCATAGGTGGTTCAAGACGGACGCTTGTCTTATCCCTGTACTGACACAGAGCCTTTCCACAACCTTCAAAAGATTTTGGATATTCGTCGACCAGTAAGATATAATATTAATAAGACTGTTTGCTTATACTTCCCTCGATATGTCAACCCAAAATTATGTATTATTCCAAGGATACCCATCAGTGATTCGAAATCCTTATGCAAGTAAACTGACTATAGGTAACAACCTGCGCCCCTATACGGGACAATCAGAGCAGGGAAGGACTAACACGGCGTGGCTTAGGGTTTTGAGAGAACCCTACCTAAGGTCTGTTGCATATACAAAAGATGTAGAGCGCCTTATATGTACGCTGTGTGTCGCTGGACAAGATGGTTGTCTCTGAGAGAGGAAACACCGTCGTGCATGGATGGTTGCTTTCAAACAGGTATCGACGAAACGGGGTCATTGACTCAAAACGAGGGAGAGGGGTGGGGGTGCATTCTTGTTCGTGGTTGGTTTTGACCCTTATGGTAAAGTCAGTTATAGCAATCGAAAGATAAAAGTCAGTGATCTTTATTTAAAGTTGTTTTGAACATTACTTAATTTATCGGCGTGTCAACTTGATGTGAAGTCCGAAGTGACGCTTGTCAGTTGTCGTTTGTCACTTTGATGAAACCCACGAGCAAGGGACTGTATTGATGATAAATATAGTTACTGCCTGTCCATTTAATACAGTCTTGAATTTATTGAATCTTGTGCGAGTCAGATATAACTGTGATGGTGTGTATACTTGTACATATATATGAGAGGGTCACCTATCTAAAACACAGAGGCCATTAGACCGTTACAGCGTAATTAGATATACACCTGCCGTAACCGAAGATGCTCCCATTGTTAGCGTCAACTCAACAGACCATGTTGTTTCGTTCGTTGTTTCTTAACGCTTTGACGATGACTTCGTGGAAATTCTTTGATTATACTACCAGGATATGTAGCTATGCCATGTTTTGAACACACCGTGGACGAAATGAACCACTGAACACTCAATCACACTCGTGTCATTTGCAAGGAATGTGTCTGTGTGATTAACAAACGTTTAGATGTGAACTATATTTGTCTATTTTCACCAACTGGCGTATAAGTATCTCACAGTGTCAGTTTTTGAAGGGTCGTGGGAAGGGATTGGCTTCAGAAAAAAGGTCGACAGTTATTTCAATGAAACGCCATAACATTGTGGTCGGTCAACATTCCTTGGCTGAACTTGGAACGTGTGTTCTACAACACAGCAATACGTGCTGACATCGTTCACACACACGGCTAGCGACTCCTAACTGCGCTCAACGGAGTTTCCACGCCTGAATAACACCGCCATGAGATGTACTCCTTTAGCCGTAGATAGCTGTTCGTTATATGGCGACATGGCGGTATAGCCATGATCGAGTTACGGTCTTTGACTAAACTACAACAAGCACAAATAAAACTAAGTTACGTAATGGCATCACGATAACCACAACAGATTAAAACTGCTATTTGATAATTTACACAGAAATTACGATCTATGAAAACAAGAAACTTACCTGTTGCTGAAAGTTCAGAAACTTTTATACAAGATCCGACAAAGCCTCGCCCAGTTGAAATGATTAATACTCAAATGTGCAGCCGGGCTATAACGCCACAGTCTCTGCAAAGGTATAGGTGCGGGCTGATGACAACTGTGTCAAACAATGAAGTTGTACCCCCAGTTCAACTTCAACTCTGTTACAAGACGAGTGTGTCTCAAGTTGTCTCCCAACCACTAATGGGAAGACTAGCCTCAGTGTGTAACCATGCGGGACGACTGAAATACCTGCACGGCAAGCTCCTGGACAAACAGTGGTCTTCGAGCTGTTGTTAACTGCAATGATTTATTTACTGTTTTATACTTACTTACCCAGGTGGGTTGGTGTTCTGTTATTTGCGGTTATCTCTTGCAGTCAAACAACCTTTTTGCCGTAAACTTCTGTTGAGTAAGACAAGTTGAATGAGAGAGGGCTTTGGTTGATTTGTGCATACGTGACTGAATAGTGGTGTTCTTAAATTAGAGATCCCGTGTTAACACTCAACCTGGAAACATATACCAGAATAAACTGGGTATTGACGTCAGCGGTCTATCCACCCGGGCGGAGAAATTTGGAAATCATGTGACATGTAATCTGATTTGTAGGATGGAATTATTGTCATCTTTTAACTGTCGTCTTTTCGTCTTTTAACCATTATCACCATGACCCTATACCCCACGGACAGATGCCCCCTTGACGAATAGCTCGTGGAGAGATGGCCCTTTGAACGAATACCCCACAGATAGTTGTCACCCGTATAACCAATACCCCGTGACCCCGTAGACACGTGGTCTTTTGGCAACACCCACACAACGTTTGCGACAACACATACACAAATCACTTTTCGAAACATTCACCTTGGATGGGTTTTTATAAATACACACACGCACACACGCACGCACACAAAAAACAAAAACCAAAAACAGGTGTATTCTTTCTTTTGTACGTCAGTGTAGATAAGTGGGGTGTTAAATGTTCCATGGTGTTGGTCTTACACTTGCACATGGCTCTAATTGTATTATGAATGGTATAAACTTGTAATTAATAGTTTACATAAATAATAATAACAAGTTGTCCTATGAAAGGCATGTGATGTTGTACTGTCGGCTAGTCTTGACGTGTCGTCGGTGCCGATCATACGGATAAATCGCCTGTACATCCATTTCGAGTGATTGAGTTTAGTTTTACGCCGCTTTCAGCAATATTCCAGCAATGTCACGGCGGGGGACACCAGAAATGGGCTTCACACTCACACATCCATTTAAAACAGACTAGTAGTGAGGCTTGGTAGATCCGTGTGGCAACTGTCTATAGTCCGACAGGATATTGCATGTTCAGATAGGACCATTGCCTAAAGTGTTATTAATTCTTGATGGAAATAGAACGCTCGGCGCTTGCCGATTGCTTGAAAAGTGTTACGGGAGTTACCCTCTAAAATGTAGATCCATGCAGAACGCGATAATCGTGATATGTCAGATTTCTCATTGCCATGATCCATACGCTGTCATTCTTAGATCCACAGGGGCAAGAAACAGGCATCAAAGTACATGCAATAAATATATTTATTTTGAAGTAGTTCTAAGACCCGTCAGTGACACTATATGCCTTGATGTCTGTTTCTGCGTTACAAGCCCCTGCATGTGCTCAGATATTACTGTATAGCTGTTGAAAGCGGCGTAAAACTGTATTCATCCTATCCTTCGCAAGAGGGGACGAGTGAGTGAGGTTGGTTTTACGCCCTTTTTAGCAATATTCCAGCAATATTACGGCGGGGACACCAGTAATGGGCTTCACACATTGTACACATGTAGCGATTCGAACCCGGGTCTTCGGCGTGATGAGTAAACGCTTTGACCACCGCCCCAAGAGCTGACGAAATGGTCAGATTTGTTGATTGCTTGTCGTTGTCACCTAGCTGGTGGTGTGGATCGAGCCTCATGATGTCAATCACTTGATTATGCTTGAATGTTCCTGTGTGAATTTGTTGTTCATCAAACGACGTAAGTGAGAAACATTACCAAATGATTTCAATATGTTTATTTTAATGGATTCGGGAACCATGAGTACAAGATAGGATGTTCCATGTGGAGCGTGATGTCCTCTCACGGCATATATAGAACTGTGAACATAGGACTGTTTTTAATTACGTGAAATTCTATACTTGCAAGAGATTTAAGTGTCATCTCTCGGAAATACAAAAAAAGCTTAATTTGTTGATATTCATCGGTAGTTCTGTCAAGGCCAAATCATAGTAGTTTAATGTTAAGATGTAAACCTTTGTAACACGTTTTTCTTCAGGAATATTATTGATGACACCTTTAATAATTTTCAGATAATAATACGGGTTGTCTTCTAACATACGACAATACCTTTCTCCCAAAGTATTAGTGATATCTTAAACTAATTTTCAGATATTAATCTGTTGGGTTTTTTCGCCATCATATCTGAACAGAGACCATATAATAATCTATTATATGGTCTCTGATCTGAACTAAACCTTGGCCTTCTGTCTCATTCGCTGTAAAGGGCGTTTTCACCCCAATAACCGGCTTGTGAAACCCATTTCAGGCTTTCGCCGTAGATATACGAACGCTGGAATATACGAACGCTGGAATATCCAGAGAGCATATAATTATATGGTCTCTACTCTTTCATACCGATGTGAAAATATGTACACCAAGTGCACATTTTCCGGATTTTAGTTGACTTGCGCCCAGACCGGAAGTTTACATTTTCAGTGGGATGGCGGCGGGAATTTCGTAGTGAAACATCTACTGTCAGAAGTGTGATGTGATGAGAAGTAATATAAAGACACTATCAACTGATGATGATGCATTAGACTGCATGTATTACGTCAGGCTAGCGTAGCTAATTGAAATCAGGTGAACGTGACCTATCCGTCTCCGAGGTTGATCTTACGTTCATCAGTGTGACAGGTGTCGTTGATTATCCTTCACCCTGATTATTTATTATCGACTGCAAGAACTGGCAGATTAATCATGTGAATGTATTTACGACAGTGTAGCAGTGTAGTCAGAAAATGCTGGTCCATCTAGATGTGCATCTTTGTGTTCAGATCGGACCAAAATAACCGGACTTGATATTGACAAAAACAATTCTACAAGTGACAATAAGTAGAATCTACATGTATAAGGGGTTCCCATAATTCAAAACGTAGAGCAGCAAATCACAGGAAACCCCAGTGCTCCGTAGGTACACATAGAAATACATTTTGTGATGTCCCCATATACATGATGTCCAAGTAAATCACCTTGTCTTAAACCCACTACTCAGGTAATAAATGTCATATTCTAAGTATCAACATGTACAAAATGTCCTCTTTCATTGGCGTAAGCAGTATTTCAATGACCACTTAAATTTCTTAATGGTAAATCTAAGCTCATCAGAACCAGACAAAAAAGATATCACAATATATTGTACACCTAATTGTCAAACTGGTAGTTAAGACACCGGTGCTGTGTGGATGTTATTCCCTAGATGATAATCCTTACTGTATCAGCTTACAGACAGGATTAAGTTATTTCATCATATGGACAAGGTGTCCTGCCTCAAATCAAATTTTGTTTGTGGACACTATACAGAGAACAGCTTTCCACCCTGACACAGTTGATGATAAGTTACATTACATGTCTTACAGGTTTTGAGTATTAATCAGTGACTTGCATTGATCAAAACCAAAACCTGCATTTCTCCATGCTTGTTAATCACACGGTTAAGTTTGTGGACTAACGCAACATATTTTACAGCTCTAATGGCAATAGTACTTTGCTTTCCAGACGGAACCATGTCCTTGTCAACTGTTCTGAAAAATGTGTACACATTTGCTCAGATTCTTGGTCAGGCCGATGGGAGTGAAGCAAGGCTCTGGGATGTACAGTCACTGAACAATGCACTCAAATGGGCAGCTTATTGCCAGAAGGTAACTTTAATCATGTTAATTAAAAAAAAAAAAATGAAGTGAATAAATATATCATTTGAGTTAATATCAATTTACAGGTAATTGTTTAATGTTGATACTATATCAATACAAATTTATTAATTTATCTCAGTGATTGGGCTAAAGTCCTTGTGGTATTTCACTCTCACAGAAACATTTACATTAGCCATTTTTGAGACTGACACAAAGAATGCAGAACATAATTTTTTTAACATTTAATGGGTGGGTCGAGTTGATATTGAGCAAAACTTGATTAATGGTGGGTCTAGATGCAAAAAATATTCATCTATTGTCATAAAGGCAATAAATTTGTGTTATTAATATGTCATTTAAATTATGCATGTATTGTGATACTTTTGAGTCAACACAGCTTGAAGTGCTGGAGAGACTGTATAGCCTCAAACCCGATGTTATTCTCTTTTATTTTGACTACTGCCAGATCCACCAGCAGGTGAGTGGACAGCGAGTTGAGGAAGCGGTCAACAAGAAGCTGGTGGAGATGATGCTGTTGCTTGATCCTCCCAGTCAAGTGTGTCTGTCTGTGGATCTCCTGGGTCAGGCTGTGTCACTATTGCAGCAGGTACCCTCTTGTCTAACATTAACCTCAGGCACTATATGTTGTGTTGTCATGTGACATCAAACAGCAAACTTAAAACAAGCAGAATGGTGTCAGTGATGGCACAAGACCATAGTGCCATTATGCATTCAATTCTGAACAGCTAAGATTCATTGTCTTAAAATCTACTGACTTTGATTCCCATTTCTAAACTAAACTGGAACGAAAATATATACATTAAGAATCTTCTTTTATAGTTAAGAAGTATTGATGATTACATCTATTTTCAATAGAGCAGTCTTTCGTATTTTCTATGGACAAGGGGCGGTGGGGTAGCCTAGTGGTTAAAGCATTGGCTCGTCACGCCAAAGACCCGGGTTCGAATCCCCACATGGGTACAATGTGTGAAGCCCATTTCTGGTGTCTACCGCCGTGATGTTGCTGGAATATTGCTAAAAGCGGCGTAAAACCAAAACTCAGTCAGTCAGTTCTATGGACAACTCTATTCCCAGTGCTGACTGTAATGTGTTTAATCTCTCTGATTGGTTTCTTCATGACAGATCCTTCTGAAGAATCCTAACACCAGTGCAGAGGTGATTACAGAGCTAATGGGCGCTGACATTCACAGTCACACAATGGAAGAGGTAGGACATACTTCAGCAAATGTACTAGATGGAAGGACTGAGGAATGGCTACCCATGAAGATGCGAATTAGAACTGGGTCTTCAGCAACCCATGTTTGTCATAAGAGGTGACTAACATGATCGGTTGGTCAGACTTGATGACTTGGTTGATGCATGTCATTGCATCCCAGTTACATAGATTGATACTCATGATGTCAATCACTGGATTGTCTGGTCCAGATTTGATTATTTGCAGACCACCTGCTGTGTGCAGTATTAGACAAACTAACCAGCAAGAGGAATGACCAACATCATGTTGCTAAGGACTACTGCCTGGTGTGGTCATATTTTCACACCAGATACCATATGATAATAATGTTTGATGCAGTCTATTAATATTAATCTTCTATATGGTCTCTGTTCACACTGAGCACTGACACCAGTAAGCCTAAGTATGGTGCAGAAAGATCTCAGATTTAAATCCTTATCAGCATATCAGTCTGGCAGATCTGTGCAGTGAATTCTGGCACCCATGATGACTAAGCCACCTGTCTCTCTTCCATCCTTATCAGTGTAGAATCTATTCAAATGGTAGTTAGCTTGGAAAGAAGCCAGGCATTACAATGTAATATTAGCCTAACTGGAAGTGAGGTTGGAAATGTGGACTGCCAACACCTTCTATGTAAGCTGGAGGCGGGGAACTTTGTAGGTTTCAGTTGTGGCAATTCTTTACAAACTGAAAGTGACATGCTCTCTGATGAGCTGAGCTCCATATATAATGTATGGAGTGTTTGCAGGGGAACATGGTGCATAGAAACAGGTATAAAGTTCAGCTGTCACCTTATTTTCTAAATTCCCTATGGGCAATGTTGTGATGAACCCATGAAGGTCCGAGTTAGAATGTGCCTTCAGTAACCCATGCTTGTCGTAAGAGGTGACTAACAGGATGGGAGGTCAGGCTCGCTGACTTGGCTGACATATGTCATCGGTTCCCAATTGCGCATATCGATGCTCATGCTGTTGATCACTGGATTGTCTGGGTCAGACATGATTATTTACAGACCGCCACCATATAGCTGGAATATTGCTCAGTGCGGCGTAGAACTAAACTCACTCACTCACTCAATGTTGTGATGGGAATGCTGCTGTGTTTGTATGTCTAGTTCAACCACCTGGTGAAAATGTCAGCAACAACACATCAGGAGGTGCTGGGATGTTGGTGATTCACAGGGGACACAGCTTTACAGAAATGCAGAGTTATGTCCCTTATGTGTGTCAGAAACCTGTGACTGTGGGTTTGAATCCCGGTTCACCCTGATTATGTTTCTTGGTCTGCATTACTTCAGGCTTCCCCCGACATCAAACTGACATTCCATAAAATAGCAGGAATACTGTCCACAGTAACATTAATCACTCACTCAGTCGTCCCAAAGCAAGCTGACATGACATAATATAACAGCCATACTGTTCAAAGTAATACTGAACTCACTCACTATCTTGCTCACTCACTCACTATCTCGCTCACTCACTCACTCACTCCTGTATGCAGCTGTTCAGAAAAGTAGCTGAAGGACAGATCACAGAGGACATGGAGGAGGACATCTTGAGATGCATACAAGAAGAGAAAGTCCAAGAGAAGAGAAAGTGGACGAGGAATAGGAGACGTACGCCTACCCCTGACTCTGAGAATCCACTGATGACTGCTCAGGCCAAATTCCTTGTGCCTCACATTGTGAAGCTGTCACAACAAAGTACTGATCACTCACGGTGGGTGTATGGTTTGATGTGGGTGTTATCTGGTATGAAGGACATTTAATATATAGAGGAATAGTATCTGCGGTATCTGTCACTCAGTGATTCTCCCTCAACTGATTATGATATTTAATTGTATATTCCTGATAGATCAAGTTGCCAGATCTCCATTGCACATTATATGTTTAAGTAAAGTGCATGTATAGCAATCAAAGAGAAATTCCAAAATGGTTCACTTCTTCAGTCACTTGCCTACAAGTATGAGAACTTTATTATGCAACACTAAACTTTCTCATCATGTTGAAACTTGGACTGGAATAGATTATTTAATCACTAATGTGCAGAGCACCTACACTTTACACCAAAGTTAAACACATTACAACAAGTTTATACAATGTCTGCAGGCTACTACAGAGAATTCCACATTTCATCCTGGCCAAGGCTGTCTCTGCTGATTCGTCGTTTGGGGAAGTGTATTTAAATCACCTGACATTTCTAGCCGATCAGATGTCACCTCACTACCATGAGCAACTGACCAATGGAAGACCCTACTCATGGAGGTAATGGCAGCATCTTCGTGTATCAAGGGTATTATATCTCCTTTCTGTTGTCATAAATACCTTGGTCTCACTTGGCCATGGTAGTGCCATGGCTTTCATCACTGTAAACTTACAACAGACTTTCCAGCTCATGAGTTTGGAAGCAACAATGAGAAATGACTTTTCTCAAGTGCGTTTGACATGGATCTGTATTCATTATTGCGGCCTTTCAAACCTTTTGCATATATTATGTTTTAAAGTCTCAAGATGTCAATGGTGAGATGGACTGCCATATCTCTCTCAGTCAGGGATGAGGAATAACTAATTTATAGCACATGGGTCATGAACACAATGTACAGTATGTGGAAGTGCAAAAGGATGAACTAAGACTTGTTCCCCTCTTGTCTAAGTCAAATTGTCTAGCCTTCCATGTTGCACACAGGCAGTAGTAACAATATGCCAAATCAGTGGTATAGTTAAGAGAATCAGACTGTTAAAACTGAAGTTCTCACTGGAAAAGATATTTTCAGAGTATGGAGACTTGTTGTACGCTACAAGATGAGTCCAGTAATGATCATCATGATGTTTGTGTCACGAAGAACAGTGTACTTCCACTGTTGTACCTTCAATATGATACACTGGATAAATGAGGACCCTGAGTTCTATCGCTGTTAAGCAATGGTAATTTTATGAGTGAGTGAGTGAGTTTAGTTTTACGCCGCACTCAGCAATATTCCAGCTTTACGGCAGTGGTCTGTAAAAAATCGAGTCTGGACCAGACAACCCAGTGATCAACAACATGATTATCGATGTATGCAATTGGGATACGATGACATTTGTCAACCAAGTCAGCGAGCCTGACTACAGGATCCTGTTAGTGAACTCTTAGGACAAGCCACAAGTGTGGTTTACTGAAGATCAATTCCAGCCCGGACCTTCACAGGTCTGGTCATTATATGTGTTGTAATGCCTGACCTGTATTGGGTATGGTTTGTCCAACAATTTATTACTTCTTTGATTGGCATTCTAGAAGTTGGGTAGATGAAGAATGAGGACTATTTTATGGATATACATTCTAATTGCTTGACAACGACATTAGAATCTATGTCGAAACATCGCCTATACAGAATTAAGAAGTTGTATATCCATAAAAATAGTCCTCATTCCTCAACAATTTATTGTCATACAAATATTCATGATCACTATCCTTTTTTATTTGGTGTGGGGTGGTGTCTTGTATTGTGAAGATGAAATGGTGTGAGTTGTATTATGATTCAGAGTTGAGTGTTATGTTATGATTCAGAGCGGTGTGTTGCATTGTGAACCAGGGTGGTGGGTGGACTGAGAGTCAGGATAGTGTGTTGGATTGTGAACCAGGGTGGTGTGGTGGACTGAGAGTCAGGATGGTGTGTTGCATTGTGAACCAGGGCGGTGGGTGGACTGAGAGTCAAGATGGTGTGTTGTGAACCAGGGTGGACTGAGAGTCAGGATGGTGTGTTGTATTGTGAACTAGGGCGGTGGGTGGACTGAGAGTCAGGATGGTGTGTTGTGAACCAGGGTGGTGGATGGACTGAGAGTCAAGATGGTGTGTTGTGAACCAGGGTGGACTGAGAGTCAAGATGGTGTGTTGTGAACCAGGGTGGTGGGTGGACTGAGAGTCAAGATGGTGTGTTGTGAACCAGGGTGGACTGAGAGTCAGGATGGTGTGTTGTATTGTGAACCAGGGTGGTGGGTGGACTGACAGTCAGGATGGTGTGTTGGATTGTGAACCAGGGTGGTGGGTGGACTGACAGTCAGGATGGTGTGTTGTATTGTGAACCAGGGCGGTGGGTGGACTGAGAGTCAGGATGGTGTGTTGTATTGTGAACCAGGGTGGTGGAGTGGACTGACAGTCAGGATGGTGTGTTGTGAACCAGGGTGGTGGGTGGACTGACAGTCAGGATGGTGTGTTGTATTGTGAACCAGGGTGGTGGGTGGACTGAGAGTCAAGATGGTGTGTTGTGAACCAGGGTGGTGGGTGGACTGAGAGTCAGGATGGTGTGTTGTATTGTGAACCAGGGTGGTGGGTGGACTGAGAGTCTGAAAGATGGTGTGTTGTTGTGAACCAGGGTGGTGGGGTGGACTGACAGTCAGGATGGTGTGTTGTATTGTGAACCAGGGTGGTGGGTGGACTGACAGTCAGGATGGTGTGTGTTGTGAACAGAGGGTGGTGGATGGACTGAAGTCAAAAGATGGTGTGTTGTGAACCAGGGCGGTGGTGGATGGACTGAGAAGTCAAAGATGGTGTGTTGTGAACCAGGGCGGTGGATGGACTGAGAGTCAGGATGTGTGTGTTGTGAACCAAGGCGGTGGAGTGGACTGAGAGTCAGGAATGGTGTGTTGTATTGTGAACCAGAAGCTGGTGGATGAGACTGAAATCAAGATGGTGTGTTGTATTGTGAACCAGAAGGCGGTGGATGGACTGAGAGTCAAAGATGGTGTGTTGTGAACCAGGACCAGGTGGATGGACTGAGAAGTCAAAAGATAGTGTGTTGTATTGGGAACCAGAAGCGGTGGAGTGGACTGGAAGAGTCAAGATGGTGTGTTGTGAACCAGAGGTGGTGGGTGGACTGACAGTCAAGGATGGTGTGTTGTATTGTGAACCAGGGTGGTGGGTGGACTGAGAGTCAAGATGGTGTGTTGTGAACCAGGGTGGTGGGTGGACTGACAGTCAGGATGGTGTGTTGTATTGTGAACCAGGGTGGTTGGTGGACTGACAGTCAGGATGGTGTGTTGTGAACCAGGGTGGTGGATGGACTGAGAGTCAAGATGGTGTGTTGTGAACCAGGGTGGTGGATGGACTGAGAGTCAAGATGGTGTGTTGTGAACCAGGGCGGTGGATGGACTGAGAGTCAGGATGGTGTGTTGTGAACCAGGGCGGTGGGTGGACTGAGAGTCAGGATGGTGTGTTGTATTGTGAACCAGGGCGGTGGATGGACTGAGAGTCAAGATGGTGTGTTGTATTGTGAACCAGGGCGGTGGATGGACTGAGAGTCAAGATGGTGTGTTGTGAACCAGGGCGGTGGATGGACTCGAGAGTCAAGATGGTGTGTTGTGGGAACCAGGCGTGGGTGGACTGAGAGTCAAGATGGTGTACAGTTGTGAACCAGGGCGGTGGGTGGACTCGAGAGTCAGGATGTGTTGTATTGTGAACCAGGGCGGTGGATGGACTGAGAGTCAAGATGGTATGTTGTATTGCGAACCAGGGATATCAAAGTGGGTTGTGGACTGAGAAGTCAAGATGGTGTGTTGTGAACCAGGGCGGTGGATGGACTGAGAGTCAAGATGGTGTGTTGTATTGTGAACCAGGGCGGTGGGTGGACTGACAGTCAGGATGGTGTGTTGTATTGTGAACCAGGGTGGACTGAGAGTCAAGATGGTGTGTTGTATTGTGAACCAGGGTGGTGGGTGGACTGAGAGTCAGGATGGTGTGTTGTATTGTGAACCAGGGTGGACTGAGAGTCAAGATGGTGTGTTAATTGTGAACCAGGGTGGTGGGTGGACTGAGAGTCAGGATGGTGTATTGTGGCCAGAACCAGGGTGGTGGGTGGACTGAGAGTCCAAGATGGTGTGTTGTATTGTGAACCAGGGTGGTGGGTGGACTGAGAGTCAGGATGGTGTGTTGTATTGTGAACCAGGGTGGACTGAGAGTCAAAGATGGTGTGTTACCAATTGTGAACCAGGGTGGTGGGTGGACTGAGAGTCAGGATGGTGTGTTGTGAACCAGGGTGGTGGATGGACTGAGAGTCAAGATGGTGTGTTAGATTGTGAACCAGGGCGGTGGATGGACTGACAGTCTGGATGGTGTGTTAGATTGTGAACCAGGATGGTGGGTGGACTGAGAGTCAGGATGGTGTGTTAGATTGTGAACCAAATTGGGTGGACTGACTTAGTCGCAGGATGGTGTGTGTTATATTGTGAACCAGGATGGTGGGTGGACTGAGAAGTCAGGATGGTGTGTTAGATTGTGAACCAGGCTGGTGGGTGGACTGACAGTCCAGGATGGTGTGTTGGATTGTGAACCAGAATGGAGGTGGATGGACTGAGAAGAGTCAGAGATGGTGTGTTGTGAACCAGGTGGTGGATGGACTGGAGAGTCAAGATGGTGTGTTGTGAACCAGAGGCGGTGGAGTGGACTGAGAGTCCAGGATGGTGTGTTGTGAACCAGGAATTCGGGTGGAATGGACTGAGAAGTCCAGGATGGTGTGTTTGTATTGTGAACCAGGATGGTGGGTGGACTGGAGAGTCAGGATGGTGTGTTGTGAACCAGAGGTTGTGAACTGAGAAGTCAGGGTGGTGGGTGGACTCAAAAGATGGTGAGTCAGGTGGTGGATGGACTGAGAAGTCAGGATGGTTGGATTGTGAACCAGGGTGGTGGGTGGACTGACAGTCAGGATGGTGTGTTGCATTGTGAACCAGGGTGGTGGGTGGACTGAGAGTCAGGATGGTGTGTTGGATTGTGAACCAGGGTGGTGTGTTTAACTGTTAGTGCACTGTTACATTTATAGATATTATGATTCTCAGCCCTGTGTAAAACTTCAAATCAGTTCTACTTTATTCTTTCCACAGGTGTGAGTCAGGTAGAGAGGGAAACAGATTTTAATGGTCTGGTGACTGGTTTCCAGTCTCTTCTGGATACTGGAGGTCCCACAAGGGAGACTACTGCTGTCCTGCTGATGGAGAGAGCACAAACCTCTTTCTTCAATATATGGAGGGATATATGTAGAAAACTGGTCTGATGATGAAGAAATTAATGACAAATTGTTGAGCTTACCAATATAATTTGAAATAAACATATACTGCAATAATTGTTTGATTTCATCATGTTTATTCTGTGGTGTGTTATTTGTTTATAAAATAAACAAAACACTATGTTTTAAAAAATTATATTGTATTTTGGAATTTCGCATAAGTATTATTACTCATGATCTGTGTGTGTGTGTGTATATATACATACATACATACATACATACATACATACATACATACATACATACATACATACATATATACATACTTGGAGTGAGTGATACATACATATATATGTAGGGGACAAGACCTTGGATTGTACCCATGTGAAGAACCCGGGGTTTCCGCGTGACGTAACGAGCGAACGCTTTAACCCCACCGCCCTATGGTCTTAGACAGTATTGGTATCTGGATCATCTGGCCCCACTTGTTTTCATCCAATTATATAAGGGAGGAGGTGCATCCGATCAGACACATGCAATGCAATACATTGTCCAAATCTAGACTCATAAATACATATGTATATGTTTATTATTTTGTAGAGGGTTCCTTACCAGAATTGGAAATGAGAAAAATGAAGGTTACACGAGTGTTGTTACCTTTCTTTATTTCTTTTAAGGTCCGGGTTAGAATAAACCTTCAGTAACGGGCCATGCTTGTCGTAGGAGGCGACTATCGGGATCGGGTGGTCAGGCTCGCTGACTTGGTTGACACATGTCATCGCATACCAAATACGTAGATTGATGCTCATGCTGTTGATCACTGGATTGTCTGGTCCAGACTCGAGTATTTACAGACCGCCGCCACATATCTGGAATAGTGCTGAGTGCGGCGTAAAACTAAACTCCCTCACTCTTTTACTGCTTTTCAAATTGATGATCATTTAGTTTCATTAGTTTTTTCGCTATATTTTTTTGTGTGTTTATTAACTAAAGGGCCGATGATATTTATTTCATTATGACAGATCAACATCGTATCAACGCGGCGTTTTTCTGAAAATGCCAAGCCCGTGTTTTACAAAATTACTTTTTATACACGCCTCGCAGACTTGAGCGGACATCAATCTTAGGATAAATATAAATATTTCTTGCAGACAAGTGTCCAAAGAATACTTTCGGTATTCAAAATATTTACCCACCCTAGCTCGCTATATCGCTGGCATGCTCACACACCTGCGGTTCCAAATCAAATCAAACATTCAATACGAAACAGATCCAAAACACTGCCCACTTCAGTTGTTTACCGTAAGGAGCTTGGCCTGGGTATAGAAATGCAGATACTAAACTTATGTGGCAGCCATTCAGATACTACAGAGAACTTGCGATGTTCGATACGGGTTGACCTAGCTGGATAACGTGGTATGCGATACATATTTCATGAAAGGAGTCGGTCGGTTAACCGCGCCACGCTGTAACCTAGTTAGCTATTTTAGGTGTGGTGGAATAAAGTCAGCTAAAATCTCCCGCCTAAATGTGAGCCTCCATAGCTCAGTGGTTAGAGCACTGGTCTTGTAAACCAGGGGTCGGGAGTTCGATCCTCCCTGGGGGCTTGTCAGTGGTTGTTTTTTTTTTTGTTTTTTTTTAATTTTGAGGCTGATTTTGATAATTTTCATGTTTCCTTTTGCGAACAACAAATTCATTTCGGATGACAAGTGACTATTTTAAAACAATGAATGCCTTATCGCCCTTATGTATTTTTAACTGGCCTACACACTTCCTATATTATTTTCATTTTTAAAGTGTCATGCATATTGATTTGCGCCCAGGAAATATGTACTGATAGTAACTGAATATTAGGAGATCGTGTATCGATTTGCTTTTGTTTCAATATTAACAAGCGTTCTACAGTGAGAAATACACATCATACTAAGTAACAACTTTCTATGATATAGAAAACGATACTGTGGTTAAACTCTGAAATTAAATGGAGCACAAACTGAGAAACCTCATGAAATATATACAAGTACATGTACAATACTAATGAAAAATGATTAAAAATATCATCATTCTTTAGTACAATACTAGTACATGCTAGTACAGGAAACATATATTTAGCATTTTATATACATGTACGCTTTTTTCAGTTTCGTAATTCCTACTACTACTGAACAGATATGGATGAGATACACACATAATTATCAACCATCGTGAAAGTTGTTTATCAGAAACAGTGTCACTTAAAATTGGAAGTACAATATATTCGTCATTTAACACTGTGCTGTGTAATGTGCACCAATTTTCATTAATAAAAGCCCTCGTTATATTCCCGTTTACCGAATTACCAGGAGAAAATGGTATGTATTGCATTGGTTATGAACACTGTTAAATGGATCTTGTAATCATTTAAGTACTGAAACTATAGTCTGGTTAGAATGACAATGAAATCAGTTTCATCAGGGAGACTCTATAAGAGTTGTAGAGTATCCCTGGTTTCATGCAAATCGATCAGAATACCTTTAACTAGAACTGTAAATTAATACTGTTACATGAATAAAATTATTTCGTATATTTTGTCTGGATTTCAAAGTGTTAATTTTTGTCTGTAAATGGTGGCCAAGTCGGAAGTGTATTGCGATCATAAGAACGAGATTCAGCTTGCAGGAGTATGTCATCATACGTGGAAATATTCTTTGCGCATATTTGTTTGCGCAGCTATGAAACTAAGTTGCTATATTTAGACCGGGTTTTCTCGAATACTGATCCCTGATTGGTCAACTTAGGGAATCCCACACGAGCGGCCCTATGGGTATGTCACAAGCGTTGCAACATACACACAGCGTGTTTATAAACACACAGAGACGAATACAGCTCATTTCACCAAGATACCAGGACAGAACAAATCAGCAGCCAACGTTATCACGTAGTTGTAACGAAGGACAGAAGTTAGTGGAAATTATGTCAAGGTAGCGAAACGCACCCCGTCCACATGGTGAGTGGACAGACTGAAGCACGAGACAGTGACACGCCGTATGGTGAACACAAAATAGCAGCGACGTCCTGAGTTGGACTGGAATTTTTACAGATTAGCGTTGGAAGAAACGTGTCATAATGACGCTCGGAAATCTAACTAAGGAGTTTCACAAACTCCTGAAGAATATCAGGACGCTGTCTGATGGACAGGCCGAGATTGTCGAGTGGGACGATGAGGACGTGTCCAATTTCAAGGTGGATGTCAAGCCCCATGATGGGGCATACAAGGGAGGCACTTTCCGCTTCACGGTACGTCTACGTGTTCGTTATTAGTACGATTTTTCATATGTTATTTATAGTGTATGACTGAAAAGGAAGACATTGGTCATGTTTCAGAAACTAGTATTTAATTAGACACATTCTTGTAGCCTAGCTAGAACGTAAATTGTTTTGTGTTGAAAGTATGTTTTAGAAATTGTTTAACTTGATAAGTGATTTGAAAACTGAAATAAATTGATGCATTTCGTTAAAGAGAATAGTATTATGCTTGCGATACATTTACTAAAAACTCCTACATCTTCAATCAAATCTTTGTAATGTATCCAAGACCATTAATATTGTAATATTGTTTGGATGCTTCGAGTATGCATCGTGTATGGATAAATACACATGGCAAATGGAATATTATTATGATTAATATGTATGATACTCATTTTCCACATGTATAGTACTGATCAGTTTTAATAAAATGAACAATTGTTGAATAATAAAGATCAAGTTATGATTTTCAAATAATATTCGAAGATATTCAAATAACATTTCTAATATTGTTATTTGCAGGTTACCCTTGGCGAAACGTTTCCAGAAACAGCCCCAGTGATTCGCTGTGAAACACATATATACCATCCCAACATTGACCCAACAGAGGAGTGTGATGACACCAATATCTGTCTGAACATGTTCAACTCTGATGAATGGCAGGAGGCCTATGGGGTGGATGGCCTTGTACAGGGCCTCCTCTTTCTCTTCTATGAACCAAACCTAGAAGATCCTCTGTCACCATATTTTGATTCAACATCTGAGGTGGATTTTGAGATGAATGTACTAGCATCACTGAAGGGAGAAATTGTGGAAGGTGTTCAGTATATCTGGAACTTCGGGGAAAAGGAGATTGTAGAAGAAAAGGATGCTGATCAAGATCCTAGCATAATCAAGGGAGATAATTCTAAAAGCAATATGGTTGATAAAGCCGAAGATATTGAAAAGGGGGATAACTCCAGTGTGGATGATGCAGTTATTCTCCGTGAGAAGAGACAATCTGTTGACTTGGATATTATCGCACAGAGGAGACAGGGGTATTTGTAGCTTGCGATAATATCAGAATGATCAGTGACCCACAGTGCAATAACGTCTCATCTGGCGATGGGGATGATACATCAGAAAACCTCTTCCCTCAACCCTGTGACCTCTCGAAAACTGTTGTCAAAACAAAGGAACTGACAACACCGACTAGTGACTCAAGCCCATCAGATCTGAATCTCCAATCAATTGCCTTGTCAGACTGTCCAGAAGTTGTAACCATAGAATCTGACCTTCAACAGCCCCTTGTGGACAGCAGGGATCTGGATCTGTCTGTCCAGTGTGAAGCACCTTTTGCAGGCATGTTTGAGATGAACCTATCACATAAAAGTATATCACTAAGCTCCTTTGATCCAGTTGTGCCAGAGATGAACCTGCTGTTCCTCATGATAAACAAACTGACAAAACTGTTCAAAACATGTCATCGAACATGCAAGAGATAAGGCATTCTTCTGATTGTTTAATTTATAATTTTTCAAGTTTTGATAATCAGTGCTCTATTTCTATAATTAATTTGTCTGAAAACAAATTATAATTGGCAGGTATTGTGAACTGCTGAAGAGCTTGTTTTGTGTGTTAGTAAGTGATTGAACGAGCAAATGCTTGTTTCTGTGTCAGTGAGTGAGGAGAGTGCTTGTTTTTGTGTACCGGTATATGAATGAAGAGTGATACAAATGCTAGTTTTGATATGTGTGAATAAATAGTGACTGACACAGCTGCGTGTTATTTGTGTATGAATGACAGAATTACTTGATTGTATGTGTGTGATTGAAGAGAGTGTGATAAATAGGTATCCCAAGTCTTTCAATGGTACAGATATTTCACTTATGGTATTACGTTATTATTTATTTTGTTGATTAACTCCTGACATTGGAAATACATTGTTTATATGAATGTCTTGCTTGTGTTATTTTTCACACATCAAATTGTGTTAGCCATGGTTGGGTATGCACCCCCATGGGATTTGGTCATTAGCCTTGGTTGGTCAAATACCCAGTCAGGATAATGTCTTTGCCTTGGTTAGACAAAACTACCCACTCAGGATAATGTCAATGTCCTTGGTTTCCCACATGTGATTAGGTCATTTGCTTTATACCAGATTTTAGGAAGAGTCCCCACATTCTTATACTTGATACACGGGCAAAGCTCTCCTATGTACGTACTTGATGTCAAGGTAATGTCTTCCTATGTACATACTTGATGTCAAGGTAATGTCCTCCTATGTACACACTTGATGTCAAGGTAATGTCCTTCTATGTACATACTTGATGTCAAGGCAAAGTCCACCATTGTACATATTTGATGTCAAGGTAATGTCTTCCTATGTACATACTTGATGTCAAGGTAATGTCCTCCTATGTACATACTTAATGTCAAGGGAATGTCCTATGTACATACTTGATGTCAAGGCAAAGTCCACCATTGTACATACTTGATGTCAAGGTAATGTCTTCCTATGTACATACTTGATGTCAAGGTAATGTCCTATGTACATACAACCGCCTCCGTGGTGTAGTGGTTTGAGCGTCCGCCCAGAGAGCGGCAGGCCGCGGGTTCGATCCCCGACCGCATCATCCCAAAAGACGTTAAAATATGGTACTTGTTGGTCCCTGTCTGGCGCTCGGCATTAATGGGTACAACAAGGACTGGTCGGCTCGGAGTCAGTATAATGTGTCTGAGTGGGATATTCATGCTTCACTGCGGCATGGTATCTCAGTGGGCTAGCACTATATAACCTGCTTAAGTCTGGGCTAGTACTAGCAGCCGCACATACACAGGTATACGCATGCACACGTCGTCATATGAGCAAAATATTCTCAAGCACGACGTAAAACCCACTTTCACCTCACCTCACCTATGTACATACATGATGTCAAGGTAATGTCCTGCTATGTACATACTTGATGTCAAGGTAATGTCCTATGTCCAAGATATGTACATACTTGATGTCGAGGTAATGTCCTATGTACATACTTGATGTCAAGGTAATGTCCTATGTACATACTTGATGTCAAGGTAATGTCCTATGTACATACATGATGTCATGGTAATGTCCTATGTACATACTTGATGTCATGGTAATGTCCTATGTACATCTTTCATGTCAAGGTAATGTCCTATGTACCTACTTGATGTCAAGGTAATGTCCTATGTACATACTTGATGTCAAGGTAAAGTCCTATGTACATACATGATGTCAAGGTAATGTCCTATGTACATACTTGATGTCAAGGTAATGTCCTATGTACATACTTGATGTCAAGGTAAAGTCCTATGTACATACTTGATGTCAAGGTAATGTACATACTTGATGTCAAGGTAAAAGTCCTATGTACATACTTGATGTCAAGGTAATGTCCTATGTACATACTTGATGTCAAGGTAATGTCCTATGTACATACTTGATGTCAAGGTAATGTCCTATGTACATACTTGATGTCAAGGTAATGTCTTCCTATGTACATACTTGATGTCAAGGTAATAGTCCTATGTACATACCTATGTACATTGATGTCAAGGTAATGTCCTATGTACATACTTGATGTCAAGGTAATGTCCTATGTACATACTTGATGTCAAGGTAATGTCCTATGTACATACTTGATGTCAAGGTAATGTCCTATGTACATACTTGATGTCAAGGTAATGTCCTATGTACATACTTGATGTCAAGGTAATGTCCTATGTACATACTTGATGTCAAGGTAATGTCCTATGTACATACTTGATGTCAAGGTAATGTCCTATGTACATACTTGATGTCAAGGTGATATGTCAAGGTAATGTCCTATGTACATCATGGTCAAGGATGTGTCCTATGTACATACTTGATGTCAAGGTAATGTGTCCCTATGTACATACTTGATGTCAAGGTAATGTCCTATGTACATACTTGATGTCAAGGTAATGTCCTATGTACATACTTGATGTCAAGGTAAAGTCCTATGTACATACTTGATGTCAAGGTAAAGTCCTATGTACATACTTGATGTCAAGGTAATGTCCTATGTACATACTTGATGTGATGTCAAGGTAATGTCCTATGTACATACGTGATGTCAAGGTAATGTCCTATGTACATACTTGATGTCAAGGTAATGTCCTATGTACATACTTGATGTCAAGGTAATGTCCTATGTACATACTTGATGTCAAGGTAATGTCCTATGTACATACTTGATGTCAAGGTAATGTCCTATGTACATACTTTGATGTCCTATAAAGTCCTATGTACATACTTGATGTCAAGGTAATGTCCTATGTACATACTTGATGTCAAGGTAATGTCCTATGTACATACTTGATGTCAAGGTAATGTCCTATGTACATACTTGATGTCAAGGTAATGTCCTATGTACATACTTGATGTCAAGGTAATGTCCTATGTACATACTTGATGTCAAGGTAATGTCCTATGTACATACTTGATGTCAAGGTAAAGTCCTATGTACATACATGATGTCAAGGTAATGTCCTATGTACATATACTTGATGTCAAGGTAATGTCCTATGTACATACTTGATGTCAAGGTAATGTCCTATGTACATACTTGATGTCAAGGTAAAGTCCTATGTACATACTTGATGTCAAGGTAATGTCCTATGTACATACTTGATGTCAAGGTAATGTCCTATGTACATACTTGATGTCAAGGTAATGTCCTATGTACATACTTGATGTCAAGGTAATGTCCTATGTACATACTTGATGTCAAGGTAATGTCCTATGTACATACTTGATGTCAAGGTAATGTCCTATGTACATACTTGATGTCAAGGTAATGTCCTATGTACATACTTGATGTCAAGGTAATGTCCTATGTACATACTTGATGTCAAGGTAATGTCCTATGTACATACTTGATGTCAAGGTAATGTCTTCCTATGTACATACTTGATGTCAAGGTAATGTCCTATGTACATACTTGATGTCAAGGTAATGTCCTATGTACATACATGATGTCAAGGTAATGTCCTCCTATGTACATACTTGATGTCAAGGTAATGTCCTATGTACATACTTGATGTCAAGGTAATGTCCTATGTACATACTTGATGTCAAGGTAATGTCCTATGTACATACTTGATGTCAAGGTAATGTCCTATGTACATACTTGATGTCAAGGTAGTCCTATGTACATCCTATGTCAAGGTAATGTCCTATGTACATACTTGATGTCAAGGTAATGTCCTATGTACATACTTGATGTCAAGGTAATGTCCTATGTACATACTTGATGTCAAGGTAATGTCCTATGTACATACTTGATGTCAAGGTAATGTCCTATGTACATACTTGATGTCAAGGTAATGTCCTATGTACATACTTGATGTCAAGGTAATGTCCTATGTACATACTTGATGTCAAGGTAATGTCCTATGTACATACTTGATGTCAAGGTAATGTCCTATGTACATACTTGATGTCAAGGTAATGTCCTATGTACATACTTGATGTCAAGGTAATGTCCTATGTACATACTTGATGTCAAGGTAATGTCCTATGTACATACTTGATGTCAAGGTAAAGTCCTATGTACATACATGATGTCAAGGTAATGTCGTCCTATGTACATACTTGATGTCAAGGTAATGTCCTATGTACATACTTGATGTCAAGGTAATGTCCTATGTACATACTTGATGTCAAGGTAATGTCCTATGTACATACTTGATGTCAAGGTAATGTCCTATGTACATACTTGATGTCAAGGTAATGTCCTATGTACATACTTGATGTCAAGGTAATGTCCTATGTACATACTTGATGTCAAGGTAATGTCCTATGTACATACTTGATGTCAAGGTAATGTCCTATGTACATACTTGATGTCAAGGTAAAGTAATGTACATACTTGATGTCAAGGTAATGTCCTATAAGTGTCCCTATGTACATACTTGATGTCAAGGTAAAGTCCTATGTACATACTTGATGTCAAGGTAATGTCCTATGTACATACTTGATGTCAAGGTAATGTCCTATGTACATACTTGATGTCAAGGTAATGTCCTATGTACATACTTGATGTCAAGGTAATGTCTTCCTATGTACATACTTGATGTCAAGGTAATGTCCTATGTACATACTTGATGTCAAGGTAATGTCCTATGTACATACTTGATGTCAAGGTAATGTCCTATGTACATACTTGATGTCAAGGTAATGTCCTATGTACATACTTGATGTCAAGGTAATGTCCTATGTACATACTTGATGTCAAGGTAATGTCCTATGTACATACTTGATGTCAAGGTAATGTCCTATGTACATACTTGATGTCAAGGTAATGTCCTATGTACATACTTGATGTCAAGGTAAAGTCCTATGTACATACATGATGTCAAGGTAATGTCCTATGTACATACTTGATGTCAAGGTAATGTCCTATGTACATACTTGATGTCAAGGTAATGTCCTATGTACATACTTGATGTCAAGGTAATGTCCTATGTACATACTTGATGTCAAGGTAATGACCTCCTATGTACATACTTGATGTCAAGGTAATGTCTTCCTATGTACATACTTGATGTCAAGGTAATGTCCTATGTACATACTTGATGTCAAGGTAATGTCCTCCTATGTACATACTTGATGTCAAGGTAATGTCCTATGTACATACATGATGTCAAGGTAATGACCTCCTATGTACATACTTGATGTCAAGGTAATGTCCTATGTACATACTTGATGTCAAGGTAATGACCTCCTATGTACATACTTGATGTCAAGGTAATGACCTCCAATGTACATACTTGATGTCAAGGTAATGTCTCCTATGTACATACTTGATGTCAAGGTAATGTCCTATGTACATACTTGATGTCAAGGTAATGTCCTATGTACATACTTGATGTCAAGGTAATGTCCTATGTACATACTTGATGTCAAG